CTACTGTTACACAGCGCAACCAGATCGGGTTCCTTTTTGTCAGCCTCTGCGATTGCACAGATTTCCTCGGCCTCATCTCTGCGTAGCTATGCTCGTCTTGGTTTCCTCCTGCTGCTGGTTGGATGTGGAGCTTTGGGATCTTTGCTACTGGTTCTCGGCACATCTCAACTGGGAAGTTCCTCATCTTTGAGAAGCATCATCAGAACTGGGCTTTCCTTGCTGGCACTTGGAGCGTCAAGGCTTAGCTCTCCTTTGTTGGTCGTGGACAGTTCAAGTTCAGAATCAGCTTTGCTGCTGCATGGTGTGTCTCATCTTGGCCTGTTTTCGTCAGTTCTCGGTTGTCTTGAGTTGGAAAGCTTGCTGTTTTTGCGGGGTGCCTCCCATCTTGGCTCTGTAATGTCCGCTTTGGATGCCATGACTCTTGATTCAACCTTGTTTGTGCAATCCTTCACACGCATTGGTCTGATGCTGAGCGTGATGGCCATTGAAATGGGTGTGGAAGGTGCGCTGCCCGTCGGAACTGAAGCCATCTTTGGATTGTTCGTGCTACTGCAAGGATTCGCACAGCTGGACCTGGTCTTGTCAGTTTTGAACTTTGCGCATTTTGGTTTCCCGATGCTGCCAAGATCAGTTGCATGCTCAGGTTTTAGCTTGTCTCTCGTGGGTAGATGCCAAATTGGCTTTTCACCTTCGGCTCTGGCAGTCAGCAATTTGGGCTTTTCGCTGCTGCTTAGAGGCACGTCTTGTGTAGATCCTGCACTTTCGGTGTTAGGTGCAGCCGCACTGGGTTCGTTGTTACTGCTGCACAGCGCGACCAGATCGGGTTCCTTTTTGTCAGCCTTTGCGATTGCACAGATTTCCTCGGCCTCATCTCTGCGTAGCTGTGCTCGTCTTGGTTTCCTCCTGCTGCTGGTTGGATGTGGAGCTTTGGGATCCTTGCTACTGGTTCTCGGCACATCTCAACTGGGAAGTTCCTCATCTTTGAGAAGCATCATCAGAACTGGGCTTTCCTTGCTGGCACTTGGAGCGTCAAGGCTTAGCTCTCCTTTGTTGGTCGTGGACAGTTCAAGTTCAGAATCAGCTTTGCTGTTGCATGGTGTGTCTCATCTTGGCTTGTTTTCGTCAGCTCTCGGTTGTCTTGAGTTGGAAAGCTTGCTGTTTTTGCGGGGTGCCTCCCATCTTGGCTCTGCAATGTCCGCTTTGGATGCCATGACTCTTGATTCAACCTTGTTTGTGCAATCATTTACACGCATTGGTCTGATGCTGAGCGTGATGGCCATTGAAATGGGTGTGGAAGGTGCGCTGCCCGTCGGAACTGAAGCCATCTTTGGATTTTTCGTGCTACTGCAAGGATTCGCACAGCTGGACCTGGTCTTGTCAGTTTTGAACTTTGCGCATTTTGGTTTCCCGATGCTGCCAAGATCAGTTGCATGCTCAGGTTTCAGCTTGTCTCTTGTGGGTAGATGCCAAATTGGTTTTTTACTTTCGGCTCTGGCAGTCAGCAATTTGGGCTTTTCGCTGCTGCTTAGAGGCTCGTCTTGTGTAGATCCTGCACTTTCGGTGTTAGGTGCAGCCGCACTTGGTTCGTTGCTACTGTTACACAGGGCGACCAGATCGGGTTCCTTTTTGTCAGCCTCTGCGATTGCACAGATTTCCTCGGCCTCATCTCTGCGTAGCTGTGCTCGTCTCGGTTTCCTCCTGCTGCTGGTTGGATGTGGAGCTTTGGGATCCTTGCTACTGGTTCTCGGCACATCTCAACTGGGAAGTTCCTCATCTTTGAGAAGCATCATCAGAACTGGGCTTTCCTTGCTGGCACTTGGAGCGTCAAGGCTTAGCTCTCCTTTGTTGGTCGTGGACAGTTCAAGTTCAGAATCAGCTTTGCTGCTGCATGGTGTGTCTCATCTTGGCCTGTTTTCGTCAGTTCTCGGTTGTCTTGAGTTGGAAAGCTTGCTGTTTTTGCGGGGTGCCTCCCATCTTGGCTCTGCAATGTCCGCTTTGGATGCCATGACTCTTGATTCAACCTTGTTTGTGCAATCATTTACACGCATTGGTCTGATGCTGAGCGTGATGGCCATTGAAATGGGTGTGGAAGGTGCGCTGCCCGTCGGAACTGAAGCCATCTTTGGATTTTTCATGCTACTGCAAGGATTCGCACAGCTGGACCTGGTCTTGTCAGTTTTGAACTTTGCGCATTTTGGTTTCCCGATGCTGCCAAGATCAGTTGCATGCTCAGGTTTCAGCTTGTCTCTTGTGGGTGGATGCCAAATTGGCTTTTCACCTTCGGCTCTGGCAGTCAGCAATTTGGGCTTTTCGCTGCTGCTTAGAGGCACGTCTTGCATGGAATATGCACTTTTTGCGTCAGGTGCTGCCGCACCAGGGTTATTGTTGTTTATGCACAGCGCCAGCAGACTGGGTCTTGTTCTGTTTGTTTTTGGTTCCAGCCACGCCGATTTGTTGGCCTTGCTTCAAGGACTTGCCTGCCTTGGACCTTTTCTTTTCATATATGGTAGCTGTTTGGGTTTCTCAGTCCCTATGCCAGATGTTGCACTGCTTGGATTTCTTTTGTTTGTGCAAAGCCCTAGTCAAATTGAGTTGTTAATTTTGGTTCCTGGCGCGGCAAAACTGGACTTGCCGACTTTGGCGCTGGCTGCTGGGCAGCTCGAATCACTGTTGTTTGTCCAAGGAATTGCTCGGCCAAACTCCTTGCTGTTTGTGTTTGGTTGTATGAACTTGGAGCCCTCAGCTTTTCTCCAAGGTATTGCCAGATTTGGACTTCGACTCTCAGCACTTGAAGCATCATCCTTTGGATTCTTGTTGCCACCGCAGCAGCCTAGCCGAGCCGATTCTTTCTCATTTATCCTGGGCTGCACTAGCACGAACTCATTTTTGCTGGTTTGTGATGCTGCAGTGCTTGAACCACTCTTGTTCCTGCATGGTTTTAGCTGCATGGGCTCAACACCCTCTACTTTAAGAATGAGCAACGTTGGTCTGTCGCTTTTTCTCAGATCATCAGCTCATTTGGGATTCGCTCTCTCTGCATTTTCCAGAGTAAACCTGGAACTACCATCGTCAGTGATGGAAGTGTCTTATCCGAACTTTTTGGTTTTGCTTCAAGGTCTAGCACATCTTGACTCCCCGCTCTTAGCAGTCGCTTTTGAAAGTCTGGAATCCGCCCCGTTGCTTCGAAGTACCGCGCAACTCGGCCTCTTTCTGTTCCTGTTTTCAAGTGCGCGCATGGATCCAGCACCACCAGCCGCAGGCTTCACGGCACTTGGATTCTTGCCGTTGCTCAGAGGCGTATGTCGCCTTGACTTTTCTCTGCTGGTGGCTGGAGCTGCTCTGTCTGGATCGCCACCCTCTTTGCAAAGCTTCGCCTATTTGGGAGTCAGGACCCCAGTCAAAGGGAAATCGGGAGCTCGGATGGCGCATCGTCTCTTGATATCGGAAAATCTATGGGGATCGGCCATGCCACGCTTGGTTTTGATCCATATCCATATGCTCCATGGTCAAACGAATTCTTTTGGAACATATGTTACCCCCAATTCCAATAATTAGCAATTTTAGGATATCCATTATTCCCCAACAGCGTAAGCTAATGGGGTCTTCAGCCCAGAATAGCTCCGGTGTGCACTGGTGCAGGCGCCGGGTCAGGTTCAACAGGGTTCCGGAGAAGGTTCCGGAGAAGGTTGGGAGGGGGTTCCGAAGAAGGTTCCGGAGAAGGTTCCGGGAGGCTTGCAGAGCCAGGTCAGGTTCAACGGGGTTCCGGAGAAGGTTCCAGGAGGCTTTGGTGCAGAGCCAGGTCAGGTTCAACAGGTTCCGGAGAAGGTCCCGGAGAAGGTTTGGGAGGCTTTGGCGCAGAGCCGGTCAGGTTCAACAGGGATCCGGAGAAGGTTCCGGAGAAGGTCTGGGAGGCTTTGGTGCAGAGCCGGTCAGGTTCAACAGGAGAAGGTTCCAGGAAGCCTTGGTGCAAAGCCAAGTCAAGTTCAACGGGTTCCGGAGAAGGTTCCGGAGAAGGCCTGGGAGGCTGTGGTGCAGAGCTAGGTCAGGTTCAACAGGGTTCCGGAGAAGGTTCCGGAGAAGGTTGCAGAGAAGGTTCCCGGACGCTTTGGTGCAGAGCCAGGTTAGGTTCAAAAGGGTTCTGGAGAAGGTTCTGGGAGGGGGGTCTGAAGAAGGTTCCGGAGAAGGTTCCGGAGAAGCTTTGGCGCAGAGCCGGTCAGGTTCAACAGGGATCCGGAGAAGGTTCCGGAGAAGGTCTGGGAGGCTTTGGTGCAGAGCCAGGTCAGGTTCAACAGGAGAAGGTTCCAGGAAGCCTTGGTGCAAAGCCACGTCAAGTTCAACGGGTTCCGGAGAAGGTTGCAGAAGCCACGCCAGGCCAGGTTCATTTAACTCACGGAAACCTAGCTGAGGTGTTTCTGGCGCTTGGCTTCGCAGCACGCTTCAGAATGATTCGTACAAATAAAATAACGTTGCGGCTGTTGGGAATACCACCGATTTTTTTCGACACAGCTGACATTGGATAATATAAATAAATAAATAAATATATATATATACAGTTGGCAAGTTGGTAGTAGTAGTTAGTTGTATTCAAATCAAATATCAATCAAACCAGGATTTTTGATGGTTAACCCCTCACCCATTGAATGCACCCCATCTATCAACAACTGCAGGTCTCATCACCCGCCTTTGACGTTGCGCGCCTGGCATGTTGACTACAATCCACAAATTTCTGATTTGTCATTGAACCATTGAGTCATCACGTTTCCAAAGACAGAAACTGAAACGAAGACAACAAGAACCCAGCTCCCTATGGCCAGACCTAGAGAGAAAACGTGGACGTGCCAGGTCTCTTCAGACTTTTTGTCATCGCTGAAGAGCTATCTTTAACCAGGCTTGTGACCCGCTTTCCTACCTGAAATTGCCAGAATGTTTTTCAGATCTTTTCCTTTGAAGTTGGTGTAACTTTGTAGTTTATCACCAACATTTTGGCTACTCCAGGATCTATGCTGCCTGTAAACAGCGGGTTTGCTGGTTCGTTCAACGTGGATAATGCGGCCACCTTTGGTTTCTCGTTATTTGCGCGACACTCAGTGGAAAGCTGGAACCTGTGAGGGCCTGAAGCAGTCTTTTGAACAAAACTCAATACCAGATGGCATATGTTGGTTGCAGAAACTTGGTGCACTTCTTTAGCAGTGAACCCTAATTGCATCATATTGCATCAACCTTCAATATCAATGGTAGTCATATATCATATATGTATAGTCAGTCATCATCCACATCATTCATGTCCCAGGTGCAAGAGTGTGTTCGTGCTGGCTTTCCTCTGTTGACGCTGGGTGCCGCCCGTTCCGACTTGACTTCGTCAGCCTTGGGCGCTGTGACACTGGGTTCTTCCTTGTCGCTGCATGGTGCATATCAGGCAGTATCTGAACGCAAGCAGAGTACTGATATTATCTGATATAGTCATATAGTTATGATGTACTGTGGATGGAAGAAATCCTGCACCAGTTGACTGTTTGCTTTTCCCTGTATTTATAGGGTTTCAACCGTCCAAGGTGGTGCAGGATTTCTTCCATCCACGGTATTATTGATATGTGTTGAATCTGTCCTACTTCTGTCCCATTCAAGTTTTGAACATACGTAACAATAGATCAGCTATGATCAGTAATTGGTATTGTTCGTCCTTTGGAAAATGTTGGAACGCGTTGGAACCAAATTTCCTTGTCACTTTTCGATGCTTAGCCGATGCCAACGGGCTGGATGTGGCAGTTCAACATTACTTGCAGTGGTTTTTTTTCCCACCATTTGAAGTGCTTTCAACCCCTTGGTGCTTCCCCTGAGAGGCAGAGTTCGCTTTGCCAGTGCTGGGCAGCTTTCACATTGAGCCTTTCTTGTCTCTGCAGAAGCTGTCTCATCCAGGTGCCATGGCTTTGTCGAAGGGATACGTCCAATTTATGGCTGTTTCAATGGCGAAAATGAAGGTTTGGTTTAAGCCATGGATTTTTGGGGCATCCTATTTTCTGGCAAACCCACATTTTACTGTCCTTCTCTTTCTCCCCTTACCCAGCAACTGGAGTCCACTTTGATCAGGAAAATACGTTTGACATTGTTGATCAATCAGAAGTAGGGGACATTCCATTGCGGGCGCCCAGGAGGAAAATTAACTGGACTGACACTGGGACATTTCGAAAAAAAGAATCAGCAAAAAACCATGGCATACCCTGGAAATCCGTCGAGCTGTCGATGTCTTCAGGTTCCAGCTCTTCTGCCTTCGGCCAAGCATGACTGGGGGCGACACCTTCAGTGTTTGACCGCACATCACTAGGCTCTCCTCTGTCCCTCAGGAGTGACTTGGCACCGGACTCGTGGGCGACATTTGGCCCTGGCAGACGACCCCCAAATAGCTACCAGATGTGACCAAATATGGTAATATAGCACAACCCGTATATATATATATATATGTATGTGTATATTGTGTGTGTGTATAAATATATATATATATATATAATAGGTTTCGGACCATGATCTTTCTGCAAATCTGATGAGTTTCTGTTGTCACAAGGCATGGCTTAATTTGGTAGCACTACCTCAGTGCAAGAGAATGCGCACCTCTGTGGGCTGAGCGCCACCGGCTTCGCGTCCTTCGCGTAGCAACCTCAGGGGGCAGCCCCGCAACAGAGAAAAGTTTACTCGGGGGTTTCTGAAAGTAGAATACCTTAAATTCATCCCAAATTTGTCATGGCGAAACCACAGTTTTGGGGTGCAGTAACCCAAGTCGAAGAACCCGCAAATGAAACCCTTTCGAGCCTCCACAATTGAAGGTTTTCCAGTCAAAAGAGTTCCCGTTTCATCTTGTTTCTTCATGAACAGGCACATGAAGCCACGCTTGATGCCAAACCCACTGCATGTCCTGGCAGGGCAAGCACCTCCGTGAATGGCCTGATCCAGATCGGGCAGGCAACAACTTACATTGCCACCAACTATGCCCTGCAGTACGACGACGTGGGTGGCTTCTTGTTGCGACCTCAGCCCCTGAGCAGGTGAGGGTTTCACACTTGGAGCTCTGAATGACATGCTCGGGGCGAAAGAAAAATAATACTTGCGTTTGATTTCAAGACTTCAAGAGGCGTCCTGCTTGATTGCCCGTATATAGATGTATATAGGTTATCCCACTTCGAGTTTTGGGAAGGGGACCGGGGGTGAAAGTGTAGTTTCAAGACACATGATAACAACCCACTCCGCGCTTCATTAGGTGGGACACCATCAACTTCTACACCGCACAATATGGAGGCCAGACATAGCTACCAACCCAGCATGATTGCTCAGACCTGAGCTGCGCATCGCAGGTTCCACTGCATACCGTAGTATCAGCATGTTCGGCAAGGGTGGCACCTTGCACGGTTGCGGTCTCAGAACCAGTGGAACGGATGCAGCTTTTGGACAGTTTAGAGGTTTAGCGGGGCAGAAACTTCTGAGGACACTGGGTATCCGACAACACGGTGCCTTGGCCGGGGACGGATCACTCCCAAATTGCAAGGAGCCTGTTGTGATGATGTTTTTTGGCACAGAGAAGTGGGGGCGGAACATGTTCGCACTAGAGCCAGCGCACTCAAAATGATCATCTTGTTCAAATTAGACCTATAGTAGCCAACGCCGTAGAAGTGCCTGTGAGTTTTATTAGATAGTTCATCTGGATTTGCAAATGACCGTTTAATGTTTTGAACATCGACTTGATGTTATAATATGTTATATGATTTCTATTGAATTCATTATGATTTATAATAAATATATAATATAATAATTCATTCAAATAACTATCCCCTTTCATGAATCATTTCCAGGGTTAGTTCCAGCTGCCTGCCGAGATCTCCAGCTCTGATCGACGGTTGAAGAAGTCCATCAAACCTTTGTGCCTCGGCATGAGGCTTGTATGGTTCAGAATGGGGATATAGCAGGGATCCTTCGGATATACCAAGAAATACTACTGTACTACTGTACATCTAGAGTTGATGGATGACCAGTTACGGAATTTTGCTTTTCTACGGATGCACTGAATTCACATAGTCTCTGCGTGTTCTCAATGCCGTCATTCAGCAAGGTATGAAGCAATGCAGCGGCCTGGAGAATCACAGGATGCCTCAGATGGCGTGGGCTGGGTCTTGCGGCAGCTCCGACCAGTCTCCTTCAAGTGCCCTGGTTCCAAAAGTGGCACAGATTTGCCTAGGTGAAAAATGGATGGCCACAGCCGCATGAGCAGTCATAGTATGTCATAGTATGTCGTAGTATGTCATATTATGTCATACTCATAGTGATTATAGTGTCTTTATGAAGCAATTCATTATGATTTCATCTGATTTCACTATATTTGTCCAACAAATGTTAGATGACGCTAGATGAACATCCATCATCCGCCTTGGAAGCAGCGGAAGCCAACCGTGACCGAGGTTCAAAAAGGGGCCTGAGGCAAAGTACAGCAGGTATGGCTTCATCGCCCAGCTGACATGCTTCACGACCACCGCCTTGGCTCGCCTTGTGGTTTTAGGTTTTCATCGGTTCATGATGGATGGAAGATAATAGCTTGAAAATGCTAAAATGCTTTAAAATCATTGATGAATATTATGACTTATTATGATCTACCGGTAGTATAAACACTTAGCCACAAAGTTCACCAAATGTGCAGTTGCTGGTCGTCTTCTCAGACTATCACAGAGTCCTGCAGGTAGTATTAGAAGTGTTAGCATGACGTTCCGTCTGAAAATAGGTATCCCATGATATCCCATGGATTCCCATGCTACCCCTAAGTTTTGATGGCATAATATACGTATATCTATATATATATATATCTAATCTATCATAATTTTCCCATATCTTCCCATTGAAATAACATGAAAGGCCGGCCTCAGCTGGGGCCCATCGGATCCACAACTGGACACAGCCAGGCCCAAGAGTTGCAAGACGTAATACCGTCAGTGGTGCGTCCAATCACATCGGACGGCAAGCCACGTCTTGCCGTGGTCTACCAGGACGAGCTGCTGATGGGGAAGCTGTGCGTTAGCCGTTAGCTTTAGCAAACCACTAGCAACTGGTGGGGTATTTTGATTATATATAATTATATATATATATAATTATATATATAATTATATATATAATTATATATATATATATATGATAATATATATATATATATATATATTATATGTAATTCTCAGAGTCCTCAGGAATTTTCAAGATGGCTGAGCAGAGCCCATAGCCGTGGGCTACCACGGAGTTCTCCCATCTCCCACCACTTCGTCCCTTGACAGGACTTGATCGCGCTGCTGACTTCTGCTGCACAAATGTTGCAAGAGAAGGTCAGCAAGCAAGAGGATAAGATCGCCAGGCGTGTGTGGCGCTTCGAAATGGCGGATTCCAAACACTTTAAAGCCACTTGCTTTGCACAGCTGCAAAATGAACAAACCACGTTGTTGATAGTTGATAATTGTTGATACTTGATTCCCCAGAGCCCCACTTGTATAAAATGTTGTGTGCTTCTGATGACCATTCACAGTTCCTGTGTTGAATCCCAACTTTTTTGTGCAGGCTGGAGGAGCAACTTGCTGCCATGAGCAAGAAGCTGGACCTGCTCGTCGAGGCGCACACAGATAAGGCGAGTCAGAAGGCGGGGTCTGGCGGGGTGGAAACCAATTGGAGGTTGCAGGATTCGATCTTTAGAAGCTGGTTCAGAGAGAAAAAAGGCACACCAGCTGGTACAGATATCTTGCTTTGATGTACATTAATTTCTGTCCTTTTTAAGTCGACAACTCTTCGATTTCTTGACACAGTGCTGCAGGAGCCTGCCTTGGTTCTGTGATTTGGCAGCTGCAACTTCCATCTGGGAGGCGTGTTTAAGAGGAAACATGATCAGTATCATAAACCGTGGGATTTTGGGGTATCTTGTTTTCAGACACCCAAGCTTCTTTGCATGGACCAAGAACTCGCATGGTAAGTGCTGTTGTTTCAGCCGTCACTGAAAAACCTGTCCTTTTTGCAGGTGGGAAGAACTGTGTGACATGGCTTGGCCGCACAGGATATCCCTTTCACTCCCAGCGTCCGCGCAATGGATTTCATGATGTCAAAGCCAGTCCACAATCATTCGATCACCATACCATGAAAGACTGAAAAGGATGACTACCAAGAAACCAGGCTCAAAGAGGGCAGAGTTGACAGAGTGATGTCCGTAGCGCTGAGATCTCACACAACATCGGGTCTGTTGTGCTGGCTGGAAGTAGGTTCCATACTCTCGCAGAAGGGAGACGTTCAAATCATTTTGGACCGTTTGGATATGTTTGGATTCACATGAAGCAACACAAAGGAGTGGGCAAGTGCCAGTCTACCAGCCAATGGCTCCGATGGAGGTCAGCCTCATGGGCTGTTTCACAGAGGCTGGTCACAGCTTGCTGAATGTGAAGCATGCCTGTGAAAAAGAAGGGAATGCGGGAATCAAGGGAAGTAGGGTCAAGCATATCGAGGATGAGGGACGTTCTGTATGCATGCATAGTACATTGTATTTTAGTATTGTGATGTAGAGGTATGCATGCATGTTACACAGATTGGTACATTTGCATATAATAAGGATACCACTAAGTATAATAATAACAATGATAATGATAGTAATAATAATAATAACATAGCAATAATAATGATAGTCATAATATAATGTGTATATATATATAACACCAAATAATACCAACACCAATAATAGCACCAGTAATACAGTAATAATAACAACAATAATCATGATAATAATAATAATGATAATAATATATAACAATAATAATATATATATAATAAGAATAACATAGTACCACCAATAATTCACAATCACAATACTGTAATGTTTTTCTCCTCTCCCTATCGTGGTTTTCCTCAACATGGAGGTTTGAAAACTCAATATATTGCCAATAGGATAGCCTTTTTTATGCGGAAATAACGAAAACCATCGAACAACTTTCAAATAATCCATGAGATTTTGGTGTCCTCATTTTCAGACAACCTTCATGGAGAGTCCATTGGAGTTGTCATGACGTGACCAAGTCTTCAGACGCGTAGAATCTGGACAGAAGTTTGATGGCGATTTGTGATGCTTGACATCTCAATTTGTATCGCAGGATTGGCTCATGAGAAAGGAAGGGACATGGGGTCGCGAAATACATTTCGACCAATCTGGCCCGATATCCATCCCTGCAAAAATGCTCAACACAGATGGTATGCTGTGACTGTATCCAGCATCTGCCAGAGTGCAAACAGCCAAAAGTAGACACATTTTCATCACATTTTCTGCCAGAGTATGTCGAGCAGCTCAACTGTAGCTGGTATTCTGTGTGTGTACTGGACATGAATATCCCAACTACAAAGCACAAGTAGACTTGCCTGGCAGCTTGCACACCAAATTCCCGGGAGCATTACGGGCATCTTGCCCGGCTTAATTCACGCGAATGGGGTATGTCGGCCTGGCATGATTAGTTCGATCAGCATCTGACCGCGGCCAGCGGCCATCCATGCCAGGCTCCAAATCCAAAAGCAGTGAAATCGGCTGGATGGGAGGATGACATTGGCAGGTGAAGCACTCAGGGTATTGGGGGTTACCAGCTGAGCGGAAGAATTCCATTTTCAATGGCTCCAAAAGAGGGTAGCAGTGGGGTCCAATGGAGCCACAAGACTTTCAGCATCCCAAAATGGCGGTGAATGCTCTTGTCACTAAAGGGTGCTGTTGCTGCCCCTGGATGTTCGTTGAATATCAACCAGACCTTTGTGGAAACCACAAGATCCATGCAGTATGAGGCCAACTGACAAACCCCTGCCTCTGGCCAAGGAGAGAAGAAATGGAGGACGGTTGGGTTTTCATCGATTGCTACGGCAGGGCATCCAAGATTGCCATTTTTTGGGGCAGCGCTTCGTCCCGGGGTTTAAGGGTCTCAGGGTTTTTCGGATCCCGCAAGCTGGGTCCCGTTGCAGGTGAACATCCCAGCAGCTGCTACTTCGCGATTTACGATGGTTCAGGGGCCCAGACGCTTGTAGATCTTGTAGACCGGGCAAACAGCCTTCAACTGGATGATGTGGGTTTGTGTGAACATGTCATAGGGGACCTTCAATTTCCAAACGATGATCATCGTGACAACCATTGCCATGGCCAAGGTCATGGTGGTCGGCAGTGCGTGGAATATGTTCAGGAGCACCTGCACAAGCTTGGCCCTTGGGAGATCATCAACGCTGGAAATGATCACTCCGCCCAAAATGATCAAAACGGATAGTTTTTAGCACCCGACAATGTATCAAAATCCACAGCTTTTGGTTGTTTTTCATATCTTCAGCCTCAACAACCAGCCGACCTGAGGAACTTGCTGTTGGAGCTGGAGAAGGTTCCAAGCATGGGAATTTACAGCCAATAATTTGAAATTTTATTGGGGAAGATGATGATCAACCTGTAAATTTGGGCCAATTGTCAGAGAAACCATAGGATATTGATATGCATAGAACTTTAGTACAATTTTTGCAGCACACAACAAAAAGAGAAAGGCAACCTCTTTGATCCTGGGTCCATTTGGTGGATCATGGAGATCTCTGAACATCTCCCAATAACCAGCACTCCAGGCACCCAGTAATGTACCAGAAGCCATGATGCAAGCCTTCGAGCTCACGGATGACAACATGCAATGCTCAGGCATGTTGGGCTTGACGAACTGTGAGCTGTGTTGAAATTCACATGGCTTCAGATACTGGCAATTATCATAGATTAGCAGTACATAGCAGGACAGCGCTTCCAGCTTCATGACTATTGCTCTGCCATGTTTTTCTATGCTTTTCTCTGCTTTTGTTGTGTTAAGGTTAGTCCATGCTAGTCGTTTTGCTCCTGATAGCTGCGGAGGCATTAGCAGTTCCGGGTGCACCGCTTGCAGCTGTCTTTTGCGGCAGGCTGGGATCTGAAAAATGAGGGCTGAAACCTGTACTGTAAAAGTCAACCAAAAGAAAAAACGCAAAGAACCTAACAGGTTTTTCCCTCCTGCCAGGTGAGGGTCTCTAGATTTTAACAAAGGTGCCAGTCTTCTTCTTCCTCTTCTTCTTCCTCCTCCTCTTCGTCTTCTTCCTTTTCCTCTCTTCGTCTTGTCTTCCTCCTCCTTCATCAGCTCCGGATGCTGTGGAGTGTGCCAGGACCCGAACACCATATCGCCAGCTCTGGATGTTGTGGGGCACAGCTGAACCCGAACACATGCCAGAGAGAATGCCAGATAGAATGCCAAACAGAATGTCACCATAGATGCCAGACAGAATGCCAGAAAGAATGTCAGAGTGTATGCCAAAAAGAATGTCAGATAGAATGTCAGAATATATAATACATTATATTATATATATATTATATTATATTATATATTATATATATAATATAATGTATTATATATGTATATTATATCCAATATATATACTTCCAGATGGTATGTCAGAAACTATGTCAGAATCATGTGTCAGGGTGGAGATCACTCGAAGAAAGTAATTTCGTGATTGCAATAGTCACTGGCTGCAGTTTCTCACACACTTTTGGCCCTGGTCGAGGAGAGTGCCTATGCAGAGCGAGTCCTGTACACTGCCCACGTAGGCCACGGCATCAGACATTTTTCTGCGTCCGCGCTGCGACAGACAATTTGCGACAGGTGATGCCAGGGCTGTGCTGTGTTGGGAGCCCAAGCTTTGATGCGAACCAAGCTTTGCGAAGCTTACATGGCTTAAGGAAAGATTTGGAGCCCTTTGGACATGTTCAAATTGATAATGACTGGCGCGCATATCAACGCATGTCTCTCCATTATATATATATATATTTGTTTAATGTTGTTTACCGATTTTCGACGTCAACGAGTAATTTGGGCTTTTCTGGAAGACCGATTTGAGTTGCCCTTGCTTTCAATTTCGCTGTTTCAATGTTTCGCTACAGGCAGACAGGGTTTAGCCGTGAGACTGACAGGGGAATCTGACCACAAGGTGGGTGGCTTCGTTGAGCAGCATCACCACATTTTCAACGGTTATTCATAAAACTGTGTTCCCTTTGCTACTTTGTCATGACAGTCGAAGTGTTCCCATCACCATCACCATCACCATCACCACCATCACCATCATCACCATCATCACCATCACCACCATCACCAGCATCACCATCATCACCATCATCACCATCATCACCATCATCATCATCATCATCATCATCATCATCATCATCATTATCATCACCATCATCATCATCATCATCATGATCATGATCATCATGATCATGATCATGATCATCATGATCATCATGATCATCATGATCATCATGATCATCTTGATCATCATGATCATCATGATCATCATGATCATCATGATCATCATGATCATCATGATCATCATGATCATCATGATCATCATGATCATCATGATCATCATGATCATCATGATCATCATGATCATCATGATCATCATGATCATCATGATGATCATCATGATCATCATGATCATCATCATCATCATCATCATCATCATCATCATCATCATCATCATCATCATCGTCACCACCACCTCAACCATCGTCACCATTACCAGCACCACCATCAGGATGACCATGATCATCATGATATATACTATATATACGTAGTTACATAGTCATGGCAAAGCTTCCCCATCAGCATCCTGCTTGTGATTTAGATTGGCCAGGCCACTGATCCAGAAGAAGCCAAACGAGTTGTCGAGGTGGACAGTCTTATTACCGCTGGCCAGATGTGGGTCCAAATGTTTCAGGATCTTAATTTGTACACACACACACATCCGATTCATGACGATGAAAGCATCACGAAGGCTGGCGGAACAATCTACAATGAGAGAGTCAACGGAATGTTGGCAATTTCCAGGCCGGGCTGAACAAAATCACTATGGTGCTTGTAGATCCAGTATCCAGATGTATCCAGATGTATCCAGATGTATCCAGGATGTTGCTCAATTCAGCAACAGCTCAGGGCCTTTGGCGACTTTCAGCTGAAAGCGCCCACCTGGACAAAGGACATTGTCTCAAACGTCTCTTGGTTGAGGACGTATCTTGAGAGCGGTTACAAGTGGTAGGAGTTGAACCAGGATTCTACAAGGGGGAAGTAGTGCAACGCCCACGCGAAAAAGTAAGATACAGGGTAGGATGGGTAGGGGACCAAGGGGCCCAGGTGTCGGTTTGGGAAGATGCCCCGGCTCAGCTGGACGAGAGAACCATGTGCCAGCATGAACGTCTCTCAGATCACGGCCAAGTTTTTCAGCTCTGAAACCCTAGACATTGGACGTGGCATGTGCAAATTTCGTAGGCACCTTCAGTTCATATTTCAATGCACAGGTTCCGGAGATTTCGGCCACATTGCTGATGGAAAATGTCGGCCAACCCAGCACGGTGGATGGCAAACAAAGACTTGGACGTGTCCGATCCAAAATGGGCCAAGCGTTGGGACAGCCTAAATCCACTAGTGTTTGAACTCTCTGTTTGGTGACCTCAAGCCTGTCCCCTTGTCTCACACTGGTGAGGACTTGTTTGTGATCACCGCCTGCGATGGGTCCGGGGGCTCTGACTTGATGGAAGCTGAGAATGATTCCTGACTTTGTGGTACCCAGCAGTTGTGTGTGATCAGAGCTGCGAATTTATGGAAGGCTCTGGGACGTTCTGGAGGATCAGGAAGCAGTGAACCTGGTCATCGAGGGCATAGGTCTGGCCATAATGTTTGGCCGAGAAACAAAGCAACACAGACGGTGCAGGATGGGAGATGATTGAAAGAGCAAAAGACTCATATTTTGTGCTGTGCAGAGAATAAGATGAACACTTGATAAACATTGATGATTGTGGCATATTGTGGCCACATTGGTCGACAAAGACCTGAGCCACGGCCTGTTGGCACGGCGCCAGAACAGTTGGGCATCCTTTGCGAAGAGAGCCTGGGGCCCTGGGCTCCTGGGGGTCCTGGGGCCTCAAAATCGGGCGTATCTGAACTGCAGTGGTTTACAGTAGAACGGTTTAGAAGTCATTCTCCCTTTTCAAACTACAGAAACGGCCGCAAACATTGGGGTACACATATAGAAGTAATATATATATATTATATGATTATTATGATTATCTGTACATATATATATATATATTACATTATATAAACATATATATATATATATGCAATGGGTATACTATATACCCCATCTCTGGACAAACATGCAATGGTGACATGACTCCCAAGGTGCTGGCCATCCAATGCTGGGGCAGGTTGTGGCCAGCATCTTATCGCTTCGATGTTTCACATGGCTATGTCCAAAATGGGACCTACCCTCACGTGGAAAGTTTGGTTGGGAAAAAACGATGATACGCCACCGGATTTTGGAGTATCCTATGTTCAGACCCACATCACAGAAGTTAGAATTCGACTTTGAAACGCAATTCCCATGCTTTTGATATTCTTTGCGCAGCTCGTTTGGTGCAATCTCCAAGGCTCGATTGCTCATTGAGGAAGCCTTGGCCCGTGGAACGTCGGACAACGTGACCTGTGTCGTGGCGGACAGCTCAGCGTCACAGCATGGCAGGGTCAAAGCTGGATACAAAATACGGTGGTAACACAAAAAATGACCCCAGACCAACACTTGTGGTTCTACTCGCATGCCGAGGTGTTCCCATAAGGCATGTGACCTGGCTGCAACAGCGCACAAACCTTGTCACTACAGGAACTTGATCTTTGAAGGCGCAAGAGGATACTCAAAGTGTACAAACTTTGCCTTCTTATGCCGGCGCTTGAGACATGTCATCCCAAGAAAGAAGCTTCCAGGGTGTTTGCACTGGCCGCAATACATCCGAAAGAATCTGAATGTCCATGGTGTTGTGCAACCACAGTCAGCTCTTGAGTCAGTCTTCCCATGTGTGTTTTATCGATTTTTCTTCCGTAGACTATGTGCAAAAGATGTTTCTCAGGTTATACATATATATATATATGCACAGAATATAGATGGTTTCCAGGATGTGGGTACCCAACTGAGGCTGATGAACCGTCCAAGCTGCGCTTCCCATAGCCTCGCTGGAAAAAAGATGGCAGCTGTGCAAGTCTTTGTCCATGAAACAACACTTTCAGCGTGTAAGGAACGGATTTGCTAGCTCCTTTGCATGGTACTCGTAATGCTGTGCACGAATGGGTGTTCAATCCACATGTAAGAATCTATATCAATGACAAGCACATCTATAGTACTGACAGTTACCTCAACATCATTGATAGCAACCTGGCAAAAAGCTCGATAATGTTATTCGTTCTTGCAAATCACAGGAAATGATCGATTTTTGATCTTTTTAGTGGAATAAACCATCTACCAACTGTGAATTATGCATTTTTTACGTACTTTTTACGCTTTGTATGCCTTTTCTTCTCCTTTTTTCCTTTCCAATGAAAATGTCAAGCTTTTTTTACGATGAAAGTGTCAAGCTTTTTTTACGCATTTTTTACGTACTTTTTACGTTTTTTACGCCTTTTACGCCTTTTCTTCTCCTTTTTTCCTTTCCAATGAAAGTGTCAAGCTTTTTTTACGCATTTTTTACGTACTTTTTACGCTTTTTACGCCCTTTCTTCTCCTTTTTTCCTTTCCAATGAAAGTGTCAAGGTATGTCAAGCTTTTTTTACGCATTTTTTACGTACTTTTTACGCTTTTTACGCTTTTCTTCTCCTTTTTTCCTTTCCAATGAAAGTGTCAAGCTATGTCAAGCTTTTTTTACGCATTTTTTACGTACTTTTTACGCTTTTTACGCCCTTTTCTTCTCCTTTTTTCCTTTCCAATGAAAGTGTCAAGCTATGTCAAGCTTTTTTTACGCATTTTTTACGTACTTTTTACGCTTTTTACGCCCTTTCTTCTCCTTTTTTCCTTTCCAATGAAAGTGTCAAGCTTTTTTTACGCATTTTTTACGTACTTTTTACGCTTTTTACGCCCTTTCTTCTCCTTTTTTCCTTTCCAATGAAAGTGTCAAGCTTTTTTTACGCATTTTTTACGTACTTTTTACGCTTTTTACGCCCTTTCTTCTCCTTTTTTCCTTTCCAATGAAAGTGTCAAGCTTTTTTTACGCATTTTTTACGTACTTTTTACGCTTTTTACGCCCTTTCTTCTCCTTTTTTCCTTTCCAATGAAAGTGTCAAGCTTTTTTTACGCATTTTTTACGTACTTTTTACGCTTTTTACGCCCTTTTCTTCTCCTTTTTTCCTTTCCAATGAAAGTGTCAAGCTTTTTTTACGCATTTTTTACGTACTTTTTACGCTTTTTACGCCTTTCTTCTCCTTTTTTCCTTTCCAATGAAAGTGTCAAGCTTTTTTTACGCACGTTTTTTACGCTTTTTACTTTTTACGCTTTTTACGCTTTTTACGCTTTTCTTCTCCTTTTTTCCTTTCCAATGAAAGTGTCAAGCTTTTTTTACGCATTTTTTTACGTACTTTTTACGCTTTTTACGCCCTTTCTTCTCCTTTTTTCCTTTCCAATGAAAGTGTCAAGCTTTTTTTACGCATTTTTTACGTACTTTTTACGCTTTTTTCTTCTCCTTTTTTCCTTTCCAATGAAAGTGTCAAGCTTTTTTTACGCATTTTTTACGTACTTTTTACGCTTTTTACGCCCTTTCTTCTCCTTTTTTCCTTTCCAATGAAAGTGTCAAGCTTTTTTTACGCATTTTTTACGTACTTTTTACGCTTTTTACGCCCTTTTCTTCTCCTTTTTTCCTTTCCAATGAAAGTGTCAAGTGTCAAGCTTTTTTTACGCATTTTTTACGTACTTTTTACGCTTTTTACGCCCTTTTCTTCTCCTTTTTTCCTTTCCAATGAAAGTGTCAAGCTTTTTTTACGCATTTTTTACGTACTTTTTACGCCCTTTTCTTCTCCTTTTTTCCTTTCCAATGAAAGTGTCAAGCTTTTTTTACGCATTTTTTACGTACTTTTTACGCTTTTTACGCCCTTTTCTTCTCCTTTTTTCCTTTCCAATGAAAGTGTCAAGTTTTTTTTACGTACTTTTTACGCTTTTTACGCCCTTTTCTTCTCCTTTTTTCCTTTCCAATGAAAGTGTCAAGCTTTTTTTACGCATTTTTTACGTACTTTTTACGCTTTTTACGCCTTTTCTTCTCCTTTTTTCCTTTCCAATGAAAGTGTCTAGCTTTTTTTACGCATTTTTTACGTACTTTTTACGCTTTTTACGCCCTTTCTTCTCCTTTTTTCCTTTCCAATGAAAGTGTCAAGCTTTTTTTACGCATTTTTTACGTACTTTTTACGCTTTTTACGCCCTTTCTTCTCCTTTTTTCCTTTCCAATGAAAGTGTCAAGCTTTTTTTACGCATTTTTTACGTACTTTTTACGCTTTTTACGCCCTTTCTTCTCCTTTTTTCCTTTCCAATGAAAGTGCCAAGCTTTTTTTACGCATTTTTTACGTACTTTTTACGCTTTTTACGCCCTTTTCTTCTCCTTTTTTCCTTTCCAATGAAAGTGTCAAGCTTTTTTTACGTACTTTTTACGCTTTTTACGCCTTTTCTTCTCCTTTTTTCCTTTCCAATGAAAGTGTCAAGCTTTTTTTACGCATTTTTTTACGTACTTTTTACGCTTTTTACGCCCTTTCTTCTCCTTTTTTCCTTTCCAATGAAAGTGTCAAGCTTTTTTTACGCCATTTTTACGTTACTTTTTAACGCTTTTTTACGCCCTTTTCTTCTCCTTTTTTCCTTTCCAATTGAAAGTGTCAAGCTATGTCAAGCTTTTTTTACGCATTTTTTACGTACTTTTTACGCTTTGTACGGCGTTTCTTCTCCTTTTTTCCTTTCCAATGAAAGTGTCAAGCTTTTTTTACGCATTTTTTACGTACTTTTTACGCTTTTTACGCCTTTCTTTCTTCTCCTTTTTTCCTTTCCAATGAAAGTGTCAAGCTTTTTTTACGCATTTTTTACGTACTTTTTACGCTTTTTACGCCCTTTCTTCTCCTTTTTTCCTTTCCAATGAAAGTGTCAAGCTTTTTTTACGCATTTTTTACGTACTTTTTACGCTTTTTACGCCTTTTCTTCTCCTTTTTTCCTTTCCAATGAAAGTGTTACGCTTTTTTACGCATTTTTTACGTACGTTTACGTTTTTTAGCCCTTTCTTATCCTTTTTTCCTTTCCCTGAAAGTGTCAAGCTTTTTTACGCATTTTTTACGTACTTTTTACGCTTTTTACGCCCTTTTATTCTCCTTTTTTCCTTTCCAATGAAAATGTCAAGCTTTTTTTACGCATTTTTTACGTACTTTTTACGCTTTTTACGCCCTTTCTTCTCTTTTTTCCTTGCCAATGAAAGTGTCAAGCTTTTTTTACGCATTTTTTACGTACTTTTTACGCTTTTTACGCCCTTTCTTCTCCTTTTTTCCTTGCCAATGAAAGTGTCAAGCTTTTTTTACGCATTTTTTACGTACTTTTTACGCTTTTTACGCCCTTTTCTTCTCCTTTTTTCCTTTCCAATGAAAGTGTCAAGGTATGTCAAGCTTTTTTTACGCATTTTTTACGTACTTTTTACGCTTTTTACGCCCTTTTCTTCTCCTTTTTTCCTTTCCAATGAAAGTGTCAAGCTTTTTTTACGCAGTTTTTACGCTTTTTACGCCTTTTCTTCTCCTTTTTTCCTTTCCAATGAAAGTGTCAAGCTTTTTTTACGCATTTTTTACGTGCTTTTTACGCTTTTTACGCCCTTTTCTTCTCCTTTTTTCCTTTCCAATGAAAGTGTCTAGCTTTTTTGACGCATTTTTTACGTACTTTTTACGCTTTTTACGCCCTTTTCTTCTCCTTTTTTCCTTTCCAATGAAAGTGTCAAGCTTTTTTTACGCATTTTTTACGTACTTTTTACGCTTTTTACGCCTTTTCTTCTCCTTTTTCCCTTTCCAATGAAAGTGTCAAGCTTTTCGTACGCATTTTTTACGTACTTTTTACGCTTTTTACGCCCTTTTCTTCTCCTTTTTTCCTTTCCAATGAAAGTGTCAAGCATTTTTTACGCATTTTTTACGTACTTTTTACGCTTTTTACGCCTTTTCTTCTCCTTTTTCCCTTTCCAATGAAAGTGTCAAGTTTTTTTTACGCATTTTTTACGTACTTTTTACGCTTTTTACGCCCTTTTCTTCTCCTTTTTTCCTTTCCAATGAAAGTGTCAAGTTTTTTTTACGCATTTTTTACGTACTTTTTACGCTTTTTACGCCTTTTCTTCTCCTTTTTTCCTTTCCAATGAAAGTGTCAAGCTTTTTTTACGCATTTTTTACGTACTTTTTACGCTTTTTACGCCAGCCAACCAGCCATATTTTGCCAAATTTTGTGCCAATCTTGGAAGCCGGATATCCATTTCGAAGCTCCTGAGACAAAAAAAAGGAGAAAACGCCAGGAAAGACAGATTTTTTTCATCGTGCCCACGCTCCGTGTTTCGTTGTGGATATCATGTTTTCTTTTCAAAGATATTATTTGTCATGTTGTGGTTTTTGACTCATCTTTCGTGGTTAGAGTTTCAGACTCAATATCGTGGATATGACCCCTGCTCTGCTGTGCACGTTTTTGTGGAGCATTGTGTCGGTTAGACAACACCTTGCAGTGCATCGCGTCACAAACCCCTTTTCGGCGATGCCGTGAGTACTAATGTTGCTTTAATGGAGCAGATTTCAGACCATGGGAGCAATGAGCATTTTTTTTGGATGATGCTATCATGTGGACACCATTTTGGGAAGATGTGGCAATGTAGTTTGCACGTTTGCAGGGTTTTGGCTGAACCCTGGGCCCAACCGAAACATGTCGAGCAGATGAGGTTCAAACGTCGGGAACCCTGGCAGAGGGGAAAAAGGCGCTGCATAACAGATAGTCCGATAGTCCCGCCATCGACATACATATACAAGATGGTCTCAGTGCGAATTCCCAAGTTGGAGGTTGATAGTTCGTAGTCCCACCCCCCGTTTTTCGTGATTTTTTCATCATTGTCATAGTTTCTCCATAGTTCCTGAATCGTTGGAAGCACCACGGCCCAGGCCATGTACCGGTCACCGATGGAGCTGCGGGACCTGGTCCAGGCATGGCCCAGCTTCTACAGTGCCCAGGGATGGGTGGTGATCTGCCAGCGCCAGGTGTATAACGACAAGAAGGACAAAGGACAGGGTTTGGAGCTGAGATGATCTCAGATGATTTCAAATGGTCTCAGATCTTAGCTTGGTGCAGTCTGCAGTTCATATTCGGGAACATGTTTTGATATATGTTTTAATTTATGATGATTCCAATCTTCCGCCCAAACGAAGCTACCAGGCCCGGAGTGTGATTATGGCTTCAAGCTGATCATTATCGGTGATGCTGGTGCAGGCTCACTTTTTCACAGTTCCACAGCTTCACCAATTTTTTCTCCCACCTTCGATGCGCGAGGCAAAAGTAGCTTCATGCATCAGTTCCTGGAGGGGAAGTTCAGAAAGCAGTCAACCCACACTGTGGGGGGCCCCCAATGGGTAAATCCAATAGTGATTTTTGCACTCATTTCGTTGAGGATGGCTTATTGTTGGATGTCGGTATGGAGGTTTCCTGAAATGGGGGAAAATTCGAAATGAATGGTTATCGAAGGGAATTAGAAGTCAAACTTCTGACAATATGGACAGATGAAAAGCAGAGATGGGAAGCGTCAGAGAAGAGAAGAGAAGAAGAAAGAAGACCAAAAAAGATAAAGTCTCAGAAGAAAGAAGATACAGGTGCGCAAAAAGGTAGGAAAGTCGCGAAACACCGTGTTTTTCCAGTGATTTGGTGGCTCCGGAGGGTCGAAAAGTAGGCTCGCTAAAGCGGCGGGTGCGGAGCCATGTGGTCAGATGAGAGATGAAAAGTTGCACGCCATTGTAGCGCGAAGCACATTTCCAAGTCAAAATGCACACAACACACCATGTTCGGACCACTTTTGGAAGTTGAGATGTCGAAAAAGTGCACGGCGTTGTGGCGCGAAGCACATTTCCAAGTCAAATTTTGCAAAGCACCTCAGTGTCGGACCGCTTTTGGAAGTTGACATGTCGAAAAAGTGCACGCCGTTGTGGCGCGAAGCGCGTTTCCAAGTCAAAATGTTGAAAGCACCACATGTTCGGACCACTTTTGGATGTTCAGATAACGTTTCGCCTGGCAGGCGCAAGGGATTGTGCACCGTGTCAAAAGTAAGCAAAACGTGATGGTTTTGTGCGTAGCATTTCCAAAAACGATGGCAGGCGTGGTACATTTGAAGAGGATCTGCAAAGATACATTTTCCGTGACAGGCACAGTACAAGAGACATGTTCATCAGAGATGTGCGGAGGTCCGGGCGCTGATTTCCTGAGAGGGGTTGCATTTTGGAGCATCAGATGTTAAGTTTGTGGAAGATGATTTTGCGTGACAGGTGCAGCACTTCGTATGACCTGGCCTCACTTTTTTCGTGGCAGGCGCAATACTTTAGACAGGTGCTCTCACCACCACTCTCACCCTCAGGTTTCCTATTTTTGAAACTTCTGCTGCCGCCTTGTGCGGCACTACTGGTAATTATAATGGAAAATCCATCACCCGCCCTGACTTCGGAAACCTTCATATGGAAATCCTCAACAGCCCTGCCTTCAGCCCAACGCTGACAGCCATGATGTGCGGCTAAGATTGGTGTGGAGTTCGGCACCAAGATCATCTCCTTGGGAAATCGCCAAATCAAACTGCAGTCGAATTCTCAGGTAGTAGCCAACCAATTATCAATCGGAAACCAATGGTTTGGGGTACCCATACTTTAGGAATCCCCCAGGCCCCAAGTGGAGAACTGAACATTTTTTGCTTGTTTGAATTGCCATAATGTCTATTTTGAATCCAATTTTTTTTGCGTTGCTGGTAGATTAAGGGAGCGGAGGTGAAGGCAACTTCAAAACTGGAAGTACAACAGTCAACAATTGCAAAAAAATGACATGTACAGCGTAAGGAGGTGTCAACAGCAGATCCCTACATCCCAGGATGGTTCCCGAAATTGTTTTGTTTACAGCACCAAGGATTTGGGATACTGCGGGCCAGGTGAGAAGACTATGCCTTTATGGAATGAGTGTCTCGCACATCAGCGTTGCAGTGTGACTGTAGCAGCATCCTGTTTACCGGCATCCCTTGGACATGCCACCAGGAGCGATATCGTGCTGTCACCCGTTCGTACTATCGCGGAGCCGTAGGTGCATTGATTTTGTATGCCAGACACTCAGAGCTGCATAGTTCGAACATGCTTGAAAGGGTTTCCTGGGGAACTGACACCAGGACGGGGGCCCACAACAACGAATTATAGTCTCTCCTTTTGCAGTCAGTAGGGAGACAAAACATGCACCAATTCCTTGGACTTTGCTCTTCAACATATGTCGCAGGATCATACATGACCTAAGTGTTTGGCAGAACCGTTCCCGGTCCGGCGCTGCTGTGCCAACTGTGCTGAGGATGTGACGTCGAGGGACTCATACAACAATCTGCCGACCTGGCTCCAGGACAGTTGCTGCAGCTGCCTCCGGGGATGACAGGGATTGCTGGCAGTGCCTCAGGATGCCCGAGAACAAGCTTGGAAGGACATCTCCATCATTGCAGCTGGACGCTTAAGACTGGACTGCTGACATCGAAAGGCTTTGGAAATTGGATGGAAGCAGACGAAGTCTGTGTCATTCCGTTCCTCGTTCCAACGAACTTTGTCAGTAACAATGGTTTGGAAGTCCATTGGGATCATCCCATTGATCGCCCACATTTAGCCACACCTACAGCATCCTACAGCCTCCTTCTGAGTCTCGTGGTTATCCCAGTACCATTTCTACCACAAACAAGCTGTCAACCGTATTGGACCAAAGGGTTTAGCTGGCCCTTAGCTTTTGAACTACTTTCACAGCCATGGAGCAAATCTCCTCAAAGTCAATGGCATATCTATCGTGGTTTGGGATATGGACCATGGTGTTGTACTTTCACTTTACCCTGCCATGGACACCGACAGAACCTTATTTGAAGCCTCATTGCCTTCGTAAACTCAAGCAAGGTCAGTTCTGATTTGTTTGCACCTCTCTCCAGCAATCGTTAAAGCATTCAGCTGCCCAAATGGGGTCCATTGACCAGACTGCAAGCATAAACAACTGCTGCCTTAGAATAATAATCAACTTGCCTTTTTTGCGTATCTCGCGTTCGCAGCCATGTCTGCTTTCAGTTCTCCGAAGGCTCGGCAGTGATGGGAAGTGCAGGGAGAAACAGCACTGAGACGCGGAAGGGCGGTGTGCGAATTCCGAAGTTACTTCTGATACTTCTTGAATCCTCTCATTCTTCTCAACTAGTGTTCAATATTCTTCAATCATGTTCAATCAAAATAATGTTGATAAAACAATACGTATAAATTATAAATTTAAAGCAATAATAAGTACACTATCCACAATTTTACCATAGGTGGTGCTATAAAACCATCAACATAATTCAACATAGGATACTTATATGATCTTATATGATATTTTATATGGATGGTTTATGATTGCTTTACTAACATTAATCCAAGATAAACAAAATACACAATGGCCTCCAAAAAGGATGCCCCCCACCTGGACCCAGAAAGAACCCATTGGACCCAGGTCGAGCTACCTGGCACTGTGGCCATGGCAATCGAGATCTCGGAAGAAGCACGGGTTCAGCGTCAGGTGGGATGCACCAGGGGAAATTATCATGGAAATTCATAGAAAAACTGAGGTTCAATCATTGTTGGATGTTTTTCTTTCGAATGTTCTTCATAGACATATCATTTATCATCATTTGTCCATATGTTGTGTAGACAGGGATAGAATGGGTCAGTCAAAATACCACCAATATCCACCAATAGTGATCCCACAATCTATGATGGCCGTTTCGAAAAACATGTTTCTGAAACCCACCATTTTGACGATTGCCAGAATTATATTCCAATAGTGGCAATTTTCCCCATAAGCCATCGACATTGTCCTAGTATTATCTCAAGGTTATCGATTATCGATGATTATCGGTCATATTCAAACAAAACAACGATATTCCAATCTAATTTGCCAGCACATACATCCAAATATCATGGCAATTTAACGAACCCTTACACATCTTGGGACACATTTAGGGGGTGTGTTTAAGATTAGGTGAATGGGAGATTCTGCAGGACACCAACATATTTAGTGGGTAAATCCATGGCTTCCTGTAGCACTTTTTTCCCTACCAATCCATTGATAGTTGCAGTAGGCAGCAGTTATCTGATCTAGATTAAGCATACGAATCCAATCGCTGAAAATGGGCAAGCTGTTTTGATTGTCAATTACTGTAGTTTCCATTTATATTTGGATTACGAATTGTTTTTAATTGATAATTCATGATAATTCCATTGATCCCATTGATCATTAACCTCATTAACTATTGATAGTGGGATACTCACTGGGATGATAGTTGGTAAATCCCACTAGCAGTAACCTCCATTAGTTTCCATTCCATTCATAATTAGCTTCTGCTAACGGGTTGATTATTGATGGGTGAATCCTATTAAATCCCAGTGATTCACTAACTCATTAATTGGAAACTAATGATTGATTCACTCATAGTTTCCAGTTTTCCTATTAACTAAACTAGATATAGTATTAGTATTAATTAACTGCCTATTATTAACTGACTGTATTAACTATTAGTTTCTCCCAGGCGCGGCGCCCGGCCACCACCGGTCTGGCCCTACCTGGCATGGCCACCCGCGCCACCAAGCGCGCAGAGCCTGTGCCTGGGCCTTCCGCCGTTGGTTCAAAGGAAACCCACGGAAATTGGTGGATTTTTTTAAATGATTTTTTGGGATATCTTTCGGATTTTGGTGAAATGTGTCTGATTTTTTACAGGATTTCTTTGTTTTTTTTTCCTGATTCAACAGTTCGTTTTTGTTTGGAACTATGCGTTTGTTTGATGTGTGTTGGTGTTGGTGTTTTTTTTTTTCGAAGTGTGAAACGCTCTGCTTTTTGGGGGGATCAATAGTAGTGATTCATTTTGCATACCAGGTTTTTCATGCAAAAATGCGTTTTGTATAGGATCCTCTGAAGAAAGTGCTAAGCATCGCCATATGACATGTGACTCATATGACATTCACTTTTCAAAAGACTCATTGACCTTTACATATCTCTTCCAGCTTCTTGGGGGGAAACGTTGGGCCTATTTTTGAGGAACTGCCCTCTGGCGGACGGTTGGATATTCTTTTGGCATCTGGCTGTAGCCTGGACTTGGCGCATGGCTTGGTGAAAGCCTTTCGCAACGACGAACCTGAGGAGCGCGCAAAACTCGGCTGGATGGCCATGGAAGATCCAATCCGAGTAGGATGAAATCTACATGTTTTGTGATATAACTATAATTTATATATATACATATAATATGATATATATATAACTATAGTTAATGGCTTTAGAAACCATATTTAATGCTGAGTCAGAAATTTCAGCCCAGGGAAACACTTCCATGTTTCGAGGGGGACATCTGGTGGCTGTCCAGGACTCGGGTCGGACCAACGGCCGGACAGCGGGCCTGTCTTGCAGCTACAAAGGATCTTACTGCAAGGTGTGAAGGGAAATGGGGATGATGCTGACCGCTAGGACCCGCCAGAAAAAAAAAATACACTCTCAGAATTCTGAATCCTGCACTGTTTGTGCAAGCCCAAAAATCATTTATATAATATATTCAGCACACACACACACAGAGATACATATATGTATATACGTATATATATACATATATATATATGTATATATATATATGGAAAGGTAGAAGTAGGACGCCTGCATTTAAATTCAAGTCTCCACGCTTTTTGCACCTCACCTAGCAAGACAGTGGGTAGTTTTCATACATAACGTACACGACTTGTGTGTATCCCTAGGGGAGCTTCAAGTGTTTGCAGCTGCCAGGAGGTCTTCTCGCCAAAAGCTGTGGTAGATCATCTGAGTTTGGCCTCATGCTTTTGGAAGCCTGAGCCAACGGAGAATGACGGGCGCTCAGTTTCACTTGGTGATCCCAAGACAGTTTCGACAGTGTGTTTACCAACATTTCCCAACTGGTTGCTAGAAAACCTATATAATAAGACATCTCTATTTTGGAGAGTCAAACATCTCAAATTCCCGGCATCTTGCATTGAACCACTTCATACCACTTCTAAGAACAGGAGTTCTCGGAGTTACTGATCAATGGTGCTTTAGTCCACGCCTCCAGGTCGTGGATTTAAGCGTTGCTGATGACAGTCAACTGGTGATTGTCGGTGACACACATGGGCAACTGGAAGATGTGCTCTGGATTTTTTTCAAATATGGCTGGCCATCCGAGCAAAATCGCTACCTCTTCAATGGTGACATTGTGGATCGTTCCGCGGCAGCACAGGAGAGCTCAGAGTGGCTGTAGTGTTGCGCTTAGTTGGCAAGGACTTTCAAACTCCACACTTGTGGCCTAAGTTGCATCCCGAATTATATATTTTCTGAGAAGCTCATGTGCTGTATCATGTATCTATTTAGTGTAATATTAAGTAATATTCACAGATTTACAACTGTAAAAGCATTTGAATGCTTGATGCAAGCAAGTGCACCTTCCACACTGTGGGGCTCCGTGGCCATGCTTTGGGATCTTTCTCAAAGGGTCCCATGTGGAGGTCAAACTTCCGAAAGTTTCCCTACAGGGTTGGTGGGCACAGCTCTGGCAGCACTTGTATATTGTAATCTTAGTTTTCTTTGTTTCAGAAACATGATTTCTACAACTATACTCTGTGCATATTTGCGACTCAAAAACAAGATATGCATATACTATATGCATATACTGTATGCACATACCTCTCTCTCTCTATATATATAATATAATATAATATAATAATATAATATACTATATTATAATATAATATAATATAATACATATGCATATACAATGTATATATATATACACATGTACCCAAAGAAAAATGACCAAATCAAAAGTTCCTGGTACCAGGTGGTGGCCATGCTGTGGAGATTCTTTTGCTTCTTTTCGCTATCAAGCGAGACTGTCCTGAGAGCCTGGAAATTCTCCGGGGAAACCACGAGGACACGAACTGCACAATTCACTACGGTGCCTGGGCAGTTTGTTTTCTTCTTGAGAAGTGAAGTGCATAGGGTGTCACATCTTGGGAATATCATGATGGATATGGGGGCATGGATATAGGATGTTGTCGGGGATGACACTTGTTAACCAGTTGCATTTTTTTCGACATTTGATCCATTTTTCAGCTCAAGCTGAAGCCACCTTTCGAGGCTTCAAAATGGAGCTGGAGGCCAAATTCGCGGAACACCTTTCTGCGGTTTGGAATGTTTGCACCACCAGCGTTTTTCCCTTGCTACCTATCGCTGCGGCGTCTTGGATCGGATGAAATGTTGGAAGTAAATGGAGCAAGGACTCATGACTAATACCATTCCACTAGTGTCATATTAAAGATACCCCAAGAAGGGACCCCAAAATGAATAGATCCAATACTCACCCAGAAATTTTCAGAGGGAATATTTATATACTGTACTGTATATATATATACACACGCATATTAGTTATAGACTGTACATAGTGTTGGAATGAATAGCAACTGTTGAGCGACGCCACCGAGGTTTGTACAGATGTTCTGAATGGATACCGCATCGCAGTGGTTCACGGCGGTATCCCCGTGGACCTGCCTGGCTATCCTCCTCCAGTCTCTTTGGAGGTTGCTATGCTCGATGTCGAAGATGTGGCCCTCTGTTGAGAACAATTCATTGATTTTTTCTGCCAGTTGTTTCCATGATTTTTCAATAGATCGTTCGAGAGTAGACCCTTTGCAATTGTTTGTGTCTGCCTAATGATTAGATTCAAGAAGATGGCTGTGAAATATTGAGCACAGCAGAAAGCTGTGACTTGACTACGTCAAAGAGACCCTTGAGGGACAATTCTTGTTATATAGCTGGATCAGTCTTGAAGTGGATAACGTGCATTACGGTAGGAGCTAAAAAGAGAGAGCATTCATAAGTGTCCAAATAGCCCTTTCTCTGAACGCTTCGGCACTACGCTGAACTCTATATAGTAGCTAATTGATTCTATACACATACAATGTCTTTTAATACCTTGTTCATGTTGTTTTGGACCAAGATATGCTACTGTAAATAAAAGAAGCTTTCTCCCCGGATCTGTGAGGAGGAGCTGAGACGCGTGGACCGGCAGCGGCCCACAGTACAGAAGCTGCCAGTCTCAGACCAAGGTCGCTGGGAGAAGTGGGAGAGACTTCTCGAAGGTCAGGATATAATTGACATACTATATACTAATGTATATATATATAATTATCTTTATATATATATATATATTATTGATATATATATATAGAACATAATATATATATATAATTCACATATATCATACTTGTGTTTGACAACCACCATTGATTATTGTATGTTTTTAAGCATCAGTATATATTGTTGTGTTTAGATGATGTGTTTCATATTGATATTTGTTGATGTCTGTCGATTATAAAGACCCACAAACGGGCTAGGACGAGTTGATTGGGCAGGTGGGCAGCTGCTGTATAACTTCATGTGGGCAGACCCCGCTGAGACACAGGAGGCAGGAATTGCTGGGCATAGGGAGGCTTGAAGGCCAAATTATGTCAGACGATATAGTTATACATAATATAAATAATACTAATTTAATATGAATAATATAATATAAATGATATGTCATAAATAATACACATTTAATATAAATAATATAACACAAACAAAATAATATAGATGCTATAATATATATATATATATATTTAAGTACAAATAATACAACATAAATAATACAACATAGATAATATGATATAAAATATAAACAGTAATACACATAATACAACATACATAATATGATATAAATTACAAAAACTAATACAAACAATACAACATAAATTATATATCATAAATAATATACATTTAATATAAATAATATAACATAAAACATATAATACAATGTATATATTGAATATATATTGAGATTTGGGAGATCCACGGTGTCGTGCCAGGAGAAGAACTCCTCCAACAGCCGCGCGGGGAAGTTCTTGGAGTCCGACAGCAGAGAGTTCTGTGAACGAAACGGGATCACTTTGCTGGTTCGTTCCCATGAAGTCCCCAGGACTGCTGTAGTTCACGTGTTGAGGGAAGTTTGGTGTCATGCCCTATTATATTACCAGTCACGCAAATGAGGCGAATCTGTACACGCGAACCAGGAACCATGAGCTGATGATCTGATTCTGATATGATTAGAAGTCCTTCCTTTTTGCATTGCAACTCGACATCTTTGCGTCGGACACATGTTCCTTTTGAGTGTGCGAATCGCGGCAGGACATTGCGTGGAATTATGGCGAATCATAGCGGCCTTTGCCTAACCGTTTTCTCTGCCAGCAACTACTGTGGTTCAGTTGGTGCTATGGTTGCAACAGGATGCAGATGCAACTGGAATGTGGGGATTTGGTGCACTCTGCCTTTTTTCTGCTGAACCTCAGGCAATCGCGGAGGTGTTCTCGTGCTGCGACCGTCAATGAGAAGGCTCCTTTCCAACAGTGATTGTGGTCCGACTATTGATAGGCGCACCGGTATTTCGCAACAACCAACAAGTCACATCACGCAAAGATGATCAACGATATTAGCAGGATATGACGTTTCCCCTACATAAATTGGGATTATCGATAAGTAACACACATTGACCGATTCGTTGTCTACACAGCCCAAATTTATGCCAGTGAATTAGGATTACAACAGAATACAACAGATATTGACAGATGACCAGATTTTGTTGGCAATCATTGAATATGATTATTACAATATGATGATTTTCATAGGGGGATTAATCTCTATTAATCACCATCAATTAATCATCAATTAATCATCATTAACCATTAATCACCATTAATCACCATTAATCACCATTAATCACCAGTAATCACCAGTAATCACCATTAATCACCATTAATCACCATTAATCACCATTAATCACCATTAATCAATCAGTGGGAAAGTTGCTTCAGGAGCCCTGCCTTGGAAGCGTTTGAACATTGGGCACCACCCTGGCCCCAGCTCTGCTCTATGCTGGGCGCAGAGGGGCTGCGGCAAGCGCTGGCGGAGCGGCGAAAACACGCGGAGCAATGGGAGTTGCGACTTGGTGAAGAACTTTATCGAGGAAGCAATGATGGTTACCCTCTGGTGAACTAACATAGCAATGGAAAATCACCATTCTTAATAGGAAAACCCACTATAAATAGCCATTTTCCATTGCTATGTTAGTTCACCAGAGGGTAATAGATATTAATAGTTACTAATTAATGCATATTGATGGTGATTAATAGTGATTAATGGTGATTAACGGCGGAGAATCAAGGAAGTAATGATGGTGAAATGGTGATTAATGGTGATTAATAGTAATTAATGATGATTGACGATAGTACTCGATAGTTACCCTCTGGTAATCAAACGTGGCTAGCCGGGACATCCCCTATAAATGGAGGTTTGTAGCTGGGAAAAGTCCATCAACATCCTCCAAAAATGGTAGGTTTTCTAGTTTGATGAGTATAAGGGGTTATATACATGTTTATACTTTCTTTATAGTTATTTGATGGGACGTATCAGCAGTTGAGTAGTTGTAATGTAGTGAATTATTTGTTTGGTATTTAACGATCAGTTAAACATATTTGGATGTAATTGAGACATGGATATAATTTCCGTTTTTCTGGTTGGTTGATAACTTTTCCGGGAGTCATCAACCTATAATATACATATATATATACACGTATGTATATATATATACATATATATATATACTGTATATATCTTAAATGTATATATATATACATACACACGTAGGATATAATATAGGGATATATAGGGTTATCACATTAATTCCTTCATCCTAATACTAAACCCCCCCTAATAATAAACACTGCAGGTAGTTTTTAGTATTAGGAGGGTATTTAGTATTAGGGAATCCTATTAATAAAAATAAGCCCTTAATAATAAAAACTATCTTTTCCGATCTCAAAATCAATTAAATTTCTTTATATAACGCAATTAAATATTGCCAAAATTGGATTTCGAAGCTTCCCCCTAATATTAAATTAAAACCCTTAATAATAAAAACTTTTTTTTTCCGATCTCAAAATCAATTAAATTTCTTTATATAACGCAATTAAAATATTGCCAAAAATTGGATTTCGAAGCTTCCCCCTAATATTAAATTAAAACCCTTAATAATAAGAACTATTTTTTTTCCGATCTCAAAATCAATTAAATTTCTTTATATAACGCAATTAAAATATTGCCAAAAATTGGATTTCGAAGCTTCCCCCTAATATTAAGTTAAACCCCTTAATAAATAATAAAAACTATTTTTTCCGATCTCAAAATCAATTAAATTTCTTTATATAACGCGATTAAAATATTGCCAAAAATTGGATTTCGAAGCTTCCCCCTAATATTAAATTAATAACCTTAATATAAAAAAACAAAAAAAATCGGACGGACCCTAATACTAAACACCCCGGGGTTGACTAGTTTTTAGTATTAGGGGGGGAAACCCACAAATGGTAGGTTGATTTTTCAATTGTTTTCTAAAGGGGATCAATTAAAAATCAAATTGGCCAATCTGAAATTTTCAAAAATTGGAGATGGACACTAGTTTTTAGTATTAGGAGGGGGTTTAGTAATAGGACGAGGGGATTATCCATGCCATGGGAGTACCATTAGTTACAGTAACCCATTTATTTCAAATATTTTTTGACACTGATTAGTAAGTTGTCTTTGATAGTGAATATCGTGAACAATCAATGTGGAAGCAACAAGTCTGAATCAATGATGCTTGAATTATATATCATCAATCATCGAACGTCATTCATTGAGGATTCATGATTGAATGGCCGGAATCGAATCGCCGGAATCAGTGATTGAATCACCATTTTATCACCGTTGAATCAACATTGAACCACAATGAATTGATTTGATCAGCATACAACGAACACACCCTGACTCCGCGAAGTATCATGGAGTGATTCAAACAAGTTAGCCACTTTCTTCAATCAACTAGGGTGCCAACACGCCCTTTCTTCAATCAACGCGGGGTTGGGGTGAGGTCCTTCGGAATCTCGCAGAAGAACTGCTTCCTGGGAGAACTTCCAGATCCGTTTGCTTCAGCGGTTTCAGTACCATCTGAGGAGCTGGGGAATGCTGGGGATGATCTTGGTATGGGTGATCATTACCATCATTACCATCCAGGTCCACTATTTCTGAATATATGGGATGGAAATGAAGGCTATCGGATCGGATATGTTAAGTATGTTAAGTTAATCCATTCCGTTCTTCTTCTTGATCCAAAAGGTTACAGATGGGACTTGTCATGTTTACTTTCTAGTAACTTAGTAAACTAAGCATTTTTGTTTGGCAGGACATGGCATTACTTGTTTTGACACCCAAGTTTGTCAGTCACAGCAACGACCTGCAAGAGGGGCGATCTCAAACATTGCTCGCTGACAAGATGGGCTGTTCAAAATCTTTGGCCAACATGTGCAGGCTTAACTGGGTGGTTAATAGAACCTGTGAAGAACTTATGAACGTAGGAAAAACAACAGAAATCAGCAACAAATCACCAGCAATCAAGAAAATCAAATCAGTAGACATCAGCAGACATCACTGGGAACCAACAGATCAAAATGGGATTGGCCTGGAACGTCAGGAGTCTTTGTCAGCCTCCAGAGAACAGCTCATGCAATACATGGCTGAGCGCATCGTCGAGCACAAGGTGGCATGGTTGGCTGAAAGGTGACATACTTAGGATTGGTTAAAATCTAATCAACTTTTTTTCGGGTGTTTCTAGGAGTTATTTAGAATTCCGTCGACTTCCGGGAAATGTCAGTCCCCCAGTGTATGGAATATAATTTATCGGAATATAGAATTAACCAACAACAGGATATAAAGTATTGGTCTGAAAATTCCCTGGAAGAACCATAAATTTGATGGGTTGAAATACACAACTTTCCAGATAATTCAATAACATGTGTTGGGGGGTATCACCAATTTTTGGGCAACTCCAGACAGCTTGTAGCTGTCAAGGCTGGTTTGATGGGGCCCATCAATGTGTTGGGCTGTCTGCGCGGCTGCGCGTTCGCAGGAAGAACTCTTCGAGGAATTCTGCAGGGTGGACGACAGCTGTAGTGGCATGGTGAATATCTCCAACTGGTTGGAGGCACCAAGGGGCAGATCATGGCTCCAGCTGGGAATCCATGGATCACTTTCCATGATATTTCCATCAAAATAACCCAGATTTTCCCAGCGAACTGCATCACTATCATCACTGGCCATGGCGAAGTGCATGCTCCAAGGTGATGATGAAGGTCTTCAGCCACAGGTACGACATCATCACGACGGCTGTGCTAGGGCAGTTGTCGCAGAATTGGAAGCTGGCACACCAGGTGCATTATGCTCCGAGCTCAGCTCTGTTGTCAATCTGTGTTTACCTTTTTGTGCCTGCTTCATCAGCGTTCCCCGGTATTCATCTCAACAATCTACAGCTGCAGAGTTGAGGTCAAGTTTTTGTATCGATTCCAAATTCGAGACAATCCCGAAGACGGCTCAGTGACTAGGCAGCACTTCAATAGATCGATCTAGACCGAAGAATCGATGTAGATCGTTGCGCAAAGTATATCTTCATTACTCTTCATTGTGTCCAGGTTTTTGATGGTTTCGGACTTCACACAACAATCATTGCGTAAAGATGTCAAAGTCTGTTCAGACTATATAGACACGTCCGAGAGTATTAAAGCAGCAGCTCTGAGTCTTCATTTCGAGGTCTTGATCGATCGCATCAAAATTGTGACGCAATTGCAGTCGCAGCTTGTTGACTTCTCAGCGATCAACTTGGAGCACTTGCTGGATCCAAATGGTGACAAGGCGCATGAGAGATTTGTGACACGGCTGCCGCACAGCCGAGATCAGGTTGATGAGATACCTATGTCGTGTATGGAAGCTTCCCGGCAAATGTTCAAGTCCGCCAATTTCACAACTGTGTCTAGGCAGTGTCTCATCGGGAGTTTGCCAAGTTCCTGCCGCAGTTTCACATCAAGGCCATGTGTATTCAAGCTACCACATGGTTCGTGCATGTTCGTGTCATTTGGATTCATTTGGGGGATAATTACCGCAATAGTATAGCAAAATACCTGGCACTGGTTGAATGAGGTGATTCTTGTTTTTTTGGAAGATAGCAACCATTCTGATGGCCAGGTGCCACCGTGGCAGGCCGCAGCGCTTTACGCAACTTGGGCTGCACAATGTCGCACAAAGGACGAAGCCAAACCACATTTTGGCACCATTTTGGCACCATTGGGCACCGAGGAAACCATGGCCAGCATGGTGGATCAAGACCCCATCAACTTGGACAACACCATTCTGTGCTTAGCGTTGCGTGACGATCTTTTTTGCTGCTTCCTGGGGCGATCTTGTGGAATGTATTGGGTGAATTCCTGTATGAGGTATACGCATCATATGCCTATGATAACTATGTGCACTCATTGTGTACTATCGTTACTATATATTCTACATATATGAATATGATTGAATGATATTGAATGTGTATTAGTATCGCATTCATGATTATTTTCTTTGTTATTCAAGCCATTGACGGAAACTGCAGGCTGGTGAGCCAAGATCCTCCCAAACCAGAGGATGATCCTTGTGCGGATGTGGCGGAAGCCATTGGACAAAAGATCTTGCAATCTGGAACAACCTTGGCTGGTATCTTCAGATCCTGGGATCAGGACATGGGCTCCATGGGCATCAACTGACGCGTTTGACGCCCGTTTTAACGGTCGAGTTCTGTTCCGAAGAATCGGGACTGCCACATTAAAAAAGGATATGTGAGGGATGTCATTGATGTCATGAGCCACTTTGATGACTCTTAGGAAGCCAAAGATTTGGGAGTCAACGATGTCACGATGTCGTTTGCAGGACAAGTCGGGCTTCCTTTCACTGGTGGAGCTAAACAGCGGTCTGCAGACCCTGTCTTTGTCTCACAGCTTCAGTGATGCAGAGGCAGGAACCACATATCCTCTGGTAAACTAACATAACTATGGAAATTCACCATTCTTAATGGGAAAATCCACTAAAAATGGCAATTTTCAATAGCTATGTTAGTTTACCAGTGGGTATCCTGACCACTTTGACCCTGGCTCATCCTGAGATTGGTCAGCGGCCAGGTCTCGGCCTGCATGACCAAGATCGATAGCCTCGGGAAGGAAGATCAGCGAATCAGCATCTTTGAGTTCATCAGGGCACTGGCACCCAGGTGGCTATGCTGCATAGACCCTAAGCTTTCAATGCCTATGGTAGCCGGTGTAAATTTGTCAGGTTGAATTATGATTAATTAATATTATATAATATTATATATTAGCTAAACTCAAAAACTCGCTGCCGTGGATATGTTGAAAACCGCACGAGGGGTTAGCGGGGGAGCGAACGTAGGGGCGAACATGCGGGCGAACGGGTGGACGAAAGTCGCCCGCACGAGCGAGCGGGGTGGCGAGCGGGGGGGCGAGCGGACGGGCGAACGATTCGACTAGTCTTGTTTTGCCTGGTGATAATTAGTACAGTCAACCTGTGCCGAAATTATTGTACACCTACTATACAACCCAAGAATACTGGTACAAAGTTGTTGGTATTCGAAACCCGTGCAATTTTGAGGGCGGGCCCACCCCCTTGAGGGCGCATGAAGGGGTCGCACGAAAGGGTCGCGCATACGCATGTACGCACGTATGTACGCATGCACGCACGCACGTTCATGTGCATGTACGCACGCACGTTCACATGCATGTTCAGAAATAAGGTTACCTTTAAGGTTACCTTTTATATAAAAGGTAACCTTATTTCTGTACGACCCTAAGCCTCCTAAAGCATATTTAGTATTAGGAGGTCACTTTTCAAAGGTAACCTTATTTCTGAACATGGGTCTGAACATGGGTCTGAACATGGGCTTGAACATGGGTCTGAACATGGTACCTACGTACGTGCATACGTGCGAACGTACGTGCGTACGTCTGTGCGTACGTATGTGCGTACGTGTGTGCATGTGTGTGTTTGTGTGCGTGCACGTACGGCGTATGTACGTGCGTACATTCGCCCACGTTCGCCCCCACGTTCGCCCCCCCGTTCGCCCCCCGTTCGCACGTTCGCACCCCCGCCGTACCCTCGTTCAGATGGCCGTACGCCTCCCCACGTTCAATGCGTCTAAATAACTTCAAAAACAGGCCGCAGCATATATATATATATATTTGGGTGATGATGTGGATGATTTTCGGATGATTTGGTAGAGGTTTTGCTCCGTTTGCGGCCAGGCATGTGACCCTGGAGTTGCAACGCTCGATGATTCGCGAGGCGTGAGAAGGGCCGCACCAACAGGAATGGAGATCTTGATGTGATACTTATATGATTTTGGTATTTTGATATGATATATGATATATGATACATATGATATATGATACATATGATATATGATATATGATATATGACATATGATAGATGATACAGTATATTTTGATTTGATACATGACATGATTATGGGTTATGTGAAATATGTGATATGATATGTGTGATATGATATATGGTATATGTGATATGTGATAATATATGATATATGATATATGACACTACTGGATAGAAGGGTAACTATGTGTGTTGTCTTAGTGATATCATGGCTCTATCATAGCATTGATATCTTAACATTCGGTTGCAGACATGACACGCCCGTGACTATGAGTCCTGCCGAGGTCTTGAAGCGCGTCTGGGTTTGTAGACCCACGCTGCTGTCCGCGCTCGGGGCAAAGGACCCTGATGCCACCAACAAGGCGAGCGGGGCTAGCCTGGTAATGATGACACTGGAATATATTGAACCATCCCCCACAAATATACCCAGTCAATCTCATTAACATAATTAGACTGATATGAAACACCCTCCATGTGTAGATCGTGTTCTTCCAACCGTGGCTTTTCCATATCTACTGTATCTTAATGAACTGGAGCTTTGTGATATCTTTTCCTTTTCCCAGTATTTCCTTATCAAACATGGCGATTTCACCAGGTTGTTGAGGAGAGGACTCTTGGAATTCTTTGAATTCGATACATAAGATTGTGATGTGCATCAATTGCTTATCAATATGGCTATGAGTCAAAACCCTGGGACCCCAAAAAAAGGTACCCTAAAATAGCTGGTATAGCTGCACGTTCCCCCAGTCATAATATGTTAATTTCATAGGTGGCCCATCCCCACACTCCGCGGCCATGACCAGGTGGACTGGGATGCCTTTCATGACTGCGTCCTGTCCTCAGTGGGTCGCCCGAAGCGGCCAGCGAAGGACAGCGAAGGAGACCAGTGGCCGCCACAGAGGAAAACATTTTGACAATTTCTGTAAAAATCTTTGAAACATATGAAAAACGGATCCTGCCATGTTTTTTCTATGCTGCAATCACAAGTTCCGGACCTGGATGCTTTGGGCACGTGCAAGCTGCAAGGCTTTGCGCAAACAGTTGGTGAGCAAAAGCAGAATGGATAAGACATGATAAGAAGATAGAAAGACTTCAGAGAGACCATTAACGAAAGGCAAAGTTGGCTGATCATCCCAGCTTCTAGTGAGGACCATCACGATAGACTGACGCGAGTTCACTGTAAGGTTCGTGAGGTCAATGACGCCATTCACGACATGGGCCTACCTGTACTCACTCCTACTCAGAAGCTTGGTGGCAAAAGATAATGAAGTTGTCTGAAGTTGTATGAAGTTGTCTTTTTTCTTGCTAGACAACAGTCCATTTAAACACGACCAGCATCCAGAAGGATCCAGAAGGTCAGGTCCATGGCAAAATCAGTTAGACTTTTTCAACGCTTCTCCTTTCATTCCTGCGATTCCTCAGGATCCAGGTAGTTTGCGAAATTGCTGCTGCCGGCAGAGAGGATGTGAAGTACAACGAGTTTGTGCTTGCGAAAGCAGTTAGCTCTGATCATTGCTTCTCATTCATATTCTCACACGAGGCATCAACTTTTGCCAATTGAAGCTGCCCATTCTATATCAAGATAGATCAAAATATCATGATTATCATGAAACATCATTAAACATCCACATATCATTCAACATCAACATCCATATTTCATATTAATATATATATATATTATTTCATATATATATATATATATGTATATATATATAAGATATATGTTTCCAGCATTTCTCACCATTTTCGAGCGCCCCCCGAGGTGCACGGCCTCCATGTGGAGGACACCTGGTCGAGCCATGGGGCGCCGATGCCACTGGCGGTGAGCAGCTGCACTGCGTGGCTGGTGAAGTTGGCAGGTGGACCTAGGGATGGCCAGGGGATGGCCAGGGGCCAGGGGCCAGGGGCCAGGGGTGGTGGATGGGGATAATCATATTTATATATATATAAATAATATATATATATAATAATATATATGTATATATATATATATGTGGTAACTATATATATATATGTGTATATATATATATAGACTTATGCAGGGTATATAGAATGATGACACACATATTCTACATGTAGGATATTATACAAAAAACATGGTGAAGTAAATGGTGAGGCTAATCAGATACGGATATACTGTATACATCTGGAAGATCAGACAGAAAGGAGAAATCTCGCCCTCCCTCTATGTATACTATAGGTATACCGTGTATATTTGCAATTGTTTAAGCAAGGTCGGTTAGATGGTGGTTAGATGGTGATCGATGGTTGATGATAGGGATATATTATCATGGACTATCACGGGACATCATAAACTAATGTATTTCTTCTTGAAACAAAACTATGTTTTTGTTTGATTCTGATCTGTGGCCTGCGGCTTCCTCTTGTTCACTCCAGATTTGGGCCCGCTTGACAGGTTTCCTCCCATGTTGACGCTGAGCAGCTGGTATTCCAGTTTCTGATCGTGCACGAAGTGGCACAGTCAGATATAGAAGATTGTACAATAGTATCCATAGCCAAGATAGACCAAGGTGTCAGCGAAGCTGAGGCCAGCGACTTCGTTGTGTTTTCTATGGGACCATTGCACCATGATTTGCAGATTCCAGGCCAAGATTTCTCAAAACCCGAAAGTCGCTGGACACAACGCTGCAACGCCCCAAGCCTCTACCTCTTTTAGGTTTTGAGGTTTTGGGCAGCTGGCAGTGGCCAAGGCGCTACAAATCAGGAAAAAAACAATGTGTGTTTGGCACTTGGTGCTCCAGTTTGGCACATGATTTCAGGCGATTTCAGGTTCTCCCAAGGTTCTGCGGTGATTCTCCAGTCTATCAGTGCCAAGGTCGGCAACAAGCGTGACTTGAAGGAGGAGCGCCAGGCCCAATGGTTACCTATCCATCCTATACCCGGCTTTCAAGACTGTTTGCTACTGGATAAAAGATGATAAAAGATGATGTTGAACCATATTGAACCCAGAAAGGCAAGACGTCCTTGTTTGAGTTATTTTGTTTTCCCGATATTTCACACGTACACTTCTAATTTGGTTTTAGACACATTTAGAGAGTATATCCATGTTATGAATGTTCTGCGAGACCTGATGAGATGCAGTTCACAAAACCTACATGACATGGTTTTGTTCGCTTTTTGGCAAACGTGGTATGCGATGCAGTACCAAATCCGATGCATGATATCAACAAATGATGTGTTCAAACAAAACAACAACAATGTTGCTTTGTCACGTTTTCCATTGCGGAAGACAACATGTGTGTTTTCAAGTTCCTTCCGTTGCGCGGCGCGGCGCGGCCAGGTGTCCTTTCTAGAAGCAAGTAGATTTGCGCAGGAGAAGGAGCAATAGATATGGTGTCACCCTTGCAGGGCTTCATTTTGGGCACCAACACGATCTAGCCTTCAGAAACGTTTTCGAGACGGTGGAACACTGAAACATACTGAAACAAACATTGGCAAAACCATGGACCATGGCATGGCTGGGCTCCTCTTGGGCCAGGACATCTTGTTTCTCGAGACCAGTGCCCTCACTGGTGAGAATGTTCAGGACAGATTTGCCACTGGTGCATTCGGAGAAGAGGATTAAACGTGACTAAACCATCCCCAAATTTGCCATAAATGGGAGGTATAAACCATCAAAATATGGGTGGTTTATTGTTGCTTTATTCAGATTATCGGGACTGTTCAGGCACGAGCATCCTGCAGACGGCTGCAAGGACGTCTTTCATACTCTAGCGCAGCGCATCCTCAACAAGGTGCTGTAGAACTGCTGTTAATGGAGCATTTTAACCACCTTTTCAGGAGTTGCAAAAGAAAGCTGCTTTATGATCTCCAACCATTCCAATCATTCTTTTCTACCTTTGCGTGTTCTTTCATTCTTTGGTTTCTCTGGCTGATGAATGCTTCTGGAAGTACTGGAGGCTGCTTGCTGCCTCTGTCAGCTGAATACAACGACCAGCCAGAAATCACAAGGGCCTTAACGTAGACTTTCATGCTTGCAGTTGTTACAATCCTTAGCTTAGCACCTTGGTCAGCTGGAACCCAATGGTTGCTGTCCTGCGACAAGGTTGAGGAAGGCATTTGTGATATCCCCGAGTCGAGGAGTCCCTGGGATCGCGGGTCCATGGGTCTTCGAGCAGAGGTCACAGCCAGCCATTTTCATCGAGGCGATCAGAGCTTGGAGGCCTTGAGGCATTGTTTTGTTTGCCAACGCTCGACAGCAATTTGTGGTTTGGCCATTGCAGGACCGGTGGACAGTCGTCATCTGACTTCAACCGCATGCCCGACAGGAGAGTACGAATGATCTTTTTGACAGGGGAGATAGAAATAGATCGAAGATTACAGCATAAAAGGGTGTTATAAACATTATAAACCATCCCCAAGTGGTTGGCTTATTCTTGGGTTTCCCATGGTTTCCCACATTACAGCAGATTGTCAAACAGTCAAAGGAACCTACAGTAGCCTTCGCCAGGAGTGATCGGCCAAGAGGGGCAGGGTTTGTGACTCAGACATCGTCACATCTGGCTTCGTTTTTTTTTTTTTTTAATCCTTATTTTTAAGGGAAAACCGGTACTACATGGTACTACAGAAGATAGATGCAGATAGTACATCCCAAAATGGCATTTTAATACACGGCGAACATGATCAACTGCTGGCACTGGGGAGCTCAGGTTTTGTCGCTGTGGTGTGCCTCGATGTATGGCCGGATGAGAAACTGAGACCAAACGTGTTGCGTTCCGCGTGTGGCCGCGGTGAAGATCCCCAGAGGTGGCGAAAGCGAACATGTCCAAAGATAGAGCACCAGCAGATAGCGACTTCAAATGGTCCAGATACGATTTAGATGTCAAACAAGTCAAACCCGTGACATGGTGTGCAGACGTTCATGCAATTGACCTGTGAGAGGTCGATGAAGTATGATTATAGTAATCTCCAAAAAGATAGACACGAACAAATCCACTAAAATAGTGATAAGTTGTCAATCATTATGATACATTACGTTTCCATATATTTCCATCGTTTTGGGGATCACCATTATAGAAATCTTCTCTTGCTGACGTCCAAATCGTGGCTGGATCAAGCTGCGCAGCCTCTTTTTTCAGCTCAGCATGCAGCGGCCTGCACTGAAGATTGCCCCTGTTTGCCTCAGCGACTTGATGCATTGCACCTATTATATACATTTCCTATCATCTCCTACTGGTTATCACATGTTCTCACATTTATCGGCGATCATCTAGCGTAACAAACGCACCGTTTGATACGCGCTGTGCAGAGGGATTGGAATATATTGAGTTCTGGTGTGTCTTGCAGAGAATGGCATGATGGCCTGTTCATTGTGGGTACAGTGAGCTGATCGTGAGGGACTCAATCGACGTAACGCGCGTGCGCCGTGTTCGCACTGGCGCCGCTGGCACCTCCGAGCGTAACAAAAACTCTCGGACAGTTGTGCAGTTGTGGGTTTCAACATGTTTAAACCATTAACAAAAAGCCCAATAGATATACATATGGTCCGTATGGTCATTTGAGAAGATGATAAAGCCTTTGGTTTAGGGGAATCCCACTCTTGGACAAACCCATGTGGGTGAAGATCGGGCCTTTGGCTGCAGACCATTTCAACATGTTTCAACCATGGGTCTCTTCCTAAACTTCAAAGAACGGCAACAAGGCTTCAGAAATGTCCTTGTCCATCACTGACAACTCATAGAAGCCTAGATGCAATGCAATGGTCTCGAACCTGTAGAATTCTAGGAAAAGAAGGTGTCTTTCGGCCTTTCGGCCATTTCTTCAAAGACCTTCGATATGTGTGGTTTGTAAGCCGTGTCAGGCATGGGAAAGGACGCCATCTAGCAGTAGTTGACTGACAACCGCAGCCCGCAAGGTTCAACTCGCGACACATCAAGGACAATTTGGATCAATTTGGTAGTTTGCTTCTTCAATATGTAACGTTGCGTAGGCGCAGTCAGGCTGTCATGACATGAGTATCACCTGCAACCCACCCCTTCCGAGCCATGCCGGTCCCGCAAAACTTCGAGCTCAAAGCATGCAGAGCAGAGGCGTTTGAACATGCCACAAACAACACTAACCTGTAGCCGGAGCTAAGAAGCTTGAGTGAACCTTATAGACTCAAACAACAAATTTAATTAATATCTTAAAAAAATGTGTGTGGTGATTCATTGCCTGGACAGGTTTGAAATACTGCACACCCTCCCAGGACACATAGGGGACATAGGACAAATATGGTCTTTGTATTGTTGGTCAAAGTCCTTCACAAATTTGATCTGTGGCTCTGGCTAAGCCAATTCCGTGCTTCCAGTACTTGCTTGTTCGTCTTGCAGGGGCACAGTGAATCTCGTCTTGTGATTGCCTCCCACACATAGGATGGCACAGGATTTTTTGTCTGCTTGATGTGATAAACTCCATGGACTTGGGCTGGCTGGTTCCTTGTAGTTGAAGAGGTAGGAATGAAACGGTGCATAATATACTCAGACTATATAAGATTTAGTGTTTTCCTCCTCATTGCCAGATACTTTCGAGATGGTGGAATCAGTTGGAAGCTGATCTCAATGAGCCGTGGTGCCCTCGACAAGCTTTGTCGGAATGTGTCTATCGCAGTGCCTGCAGTACAGATTAGGCGCGCAAATGACCAAGCCGCGTCTGGCCTTGTCCTTTACGCGCCTTATCTGCACAGCAGGCACTGCGATGGATTCCGATAGATCATTGATGATCATTGAATATGATGCCACGCCAATGCCTGTGATCACTGGGCGGTGCCGCGGCCAAAGGCACGAGGCCTTTGGCACCGATTTGACGCACAGGGGAAACTGCAGTGTGCAAGAGGAGGTCTTCAGCCATGAAACAATCGATATCCAATAACGCACACATGGTTTGATCCCCGGGTGTGCCTCGCTATGCTTCAAAACTTGTCCAATCGCACTGTCAAACATTGCTGTTCAAACATTCAAACATGTTCAAGCATGTTCAAACCATGTCAACCAAGGAGTCAAGATTGGGCGAGAATGGGCGAGAAATATAGAACATACCAAGTAAAGATCATTGACATTCTTTGAGGCAGCCGTTGCCAGAGCTTCATGGGAGCCAGAAGTCTCAGCTTGCTGCAGTCAACGAAGCATATTTCAAGCCTTGGATCTCCACACTCTGAAGACGTGAAGGCTGAAGGATGATCCAGGAGTTGCTTGGAATCGCCAATCATTTGGCTAGTGAACTCATCGGAATCAGCATGTCAAGCGCGAGATCATGACGAGAGACAACACAAAGTCACAAAGGCTTTGAGACTATTTCAAAGCTTTCAGGCTTTGAGTTTGTTTAGTTTGTGGATTAGTTTGTGGAGAAGCCAAGGTTGTTGCACAATTTTGTCTGTCAGTTGAGCATGGTCAAGCGCAGAAGTGTTCAGGCTGACTCAGATTTTCGGCATGGTTTATCCTGCTGTCCTTCTCATCTTCGCACATCATGTCCCCCACAAAGATTAAACCCGATTGAGCTCGCTCTCAGACTGAGCGCATGTTGCAAAGGCGCATGTGGCCAAGGCTACATCCGCATTCTCTCGATCTTGTCCATGCATGTGATCTTTTGTGCTGCTCTGGAAAAACATGGTTTTAGTGCTGGACGGGCAAACGTGTGTCTTCAAGCACTTTTTCCAACTATGCAGGAACAGGGGTAGTCACAAAGATCAAACGGCGACAGTTTGTGCCAAAATGGTGCAAGATGGCGCAAAGAGGATGGGAACCCACAGAAATTGCTGCAGTTTTGTACGACAGCACTTCTTCTGCACATTGGATGTTGCAAGTATGTTCAATATGATTGCTTGCATTTCCAGTCACATCCCAAAATGGGACTTCGGTGCGCTTGTGTGCTGCTATTAGATTGGTGTTGAATGCTTGTGAATTGCTATTGATAGCCACCAGCGCGCTCTTGAGGATATTTGGGAACTCTATAATGAACTCTATTGTTTGTATTTGAAGGTTGTGCCGCCCAGATACAATGAACCTGCTGAATTGGGTCCTGATGAACAGTTGGAATCTGATGCTGAAGAATCAGACACATTTGTTGACCCAGAAGGATGTTGCGGTCTGTCTTGGCAAGTGCCCCGCAAGGTTTTCAAACCACCGTACGGTCCAGACGTTAGGGCTTTAATAAAACGTCAAATAGAAGCTGGCCTCCTGGAACCAACTGAAGAGAATGACTTTTCGGAGTACATCCTCCAGGATATCACCAAAAATACTCTGAAAGAAGATGCCTATTTCATTGGCTTCCTTGCAGCAGTGTCCAAGTACCAAAGTTGGGGTCAAGTGCTTCATGCCGCATTTATATGCATTTATCATCTTCATCCTGATATTTGCCATTGCTTGCCAGGGTTCTATGATTTGGTTCATGAAGTGGGGCCAATCATCTCCAGTCCAACTCCAATCCAAGTCCCTTCCGGCTTGGAATGATCCACACATCATTTTGGACCTATTTTCTTCATGCAGGTCATAGAAGAGGAGGAACGAGTGCATATCTATTTGAAGGTCCTGAAGAACTCGGAGTGGCTCAACAAGAAAATGGCGCATGAGCTCCACTGTAGCACGCTCCGCACCAGCGTTGGTTTTCTGTCTGAAGTTTGCCAAATTATGCCTATTCTCTTGAGGATAGCTGGAATCCACACTCTGTTCTGCTCATCGGGCAATCTGGAGCTCGTCTTGAGTTGTACAGCTTTGATGTTTTCATCCAGTACGCTGAGAAGTTTGGTCTCGAAAAGTAGCTTTTGAGCATTTGCTGGCTATGTTTGTTCCAGGCGCACGTGAGCATCAACCACATCAAAAACATGCGAATGTGAGGGAAAAGGGTGTCGGCAGATGCTTGGATGTGATCACAGAAGACCATGTCCCACCATCATAGATATCATAGAAATCCGTTTTCCATCGTTTTCCCCTTTCATATTGTGTTCCCATGTGTTCCCCAATCACGGAAATCCGTGTTCAACACTCGCTAAGTCATGGAAAATCCAAGCCATTGCTCATTGCTCATTGGTTTCTTCAGGAAGGCAACTGATGTTTATAGAAAACATGTGAAAACATGTGAAAATTCGATAAATGACACAAGTTATCGACACAAAACATGTGCTCGAACGAGGGTCTTGCCCCAAAAAAACGAGGATTGTCAGTGAGGAGTTCAGCTGAAGCGTTGTGGGGACACTGTGGATCAATCTTCAAAGGTTGAGTTTCTGTTGGAAGCGTTCACCTATTTTAAAACGCACTCATCCATCAATTTAGGGATAGATGCCAAGCAATTTTGGTGTAATTCCAAACGAACGGCTTTCAAAAGCGGACGTCGCTTGTCAAGGGCAGCTGACCTTTCCAGTTTTCCACCTTGATTTCAGCGACCCAATGGCGTCGTGGACAGGACCAAAACATAGTGACATGAAAATCATGAAATGACCACATAGAGGAGTAGTTGAGTCACATCATTAGCAAATAATGGCGAGAGATTTGATTGGTTGGTCTTGATAGCTTGGCTATGAATGTGATTGTCGATTTTCCCTGGACACGTCGGATCAAGCTTGGGGTTTTGTTGCACGGATGGTGTTGCAGTGCAGTCCGGAAAATCAACCGATCCAATGCTCCCAGCAGTTCCAGTATGTTCGAGTGTGTTCCAGTGGCCAATCCGACAGAAAGGCTCAACAGATCACAGCATTTCCAGCAGATCACAGCAGCTGTCCCATCCTATCCTCGGCGCCACCATGACATCAAGGTTTGGTGGCATGCTTTGCGCCAGTTGAAACTGATGTCTCCTGATGTCTCCTGATGTTTCCTTGACCAAACTCCACACGAGGTCGCTGTAACACTATGGAAGTGAGGCAGATATGACGGAGATGGAGGCCAATGCACTGAAGTTTGGCCTTGAAAGGAAGTCCATTTCTATTCCATTTCTGAAAAACCATCATGGAAGGACAGTCCATCTTAACAAACAGAAGGACAACATCACAAACATCTTATAACATCTTTATTATATATGCTTTTAGAAAGTCATAGAAAGTCTCACTCAGGCTGCAGCTGCGAATGAGAGTTTGGACCTCGACGACTCGACATCATATTTGGACTTGTTTCATGGAAGCAGAAGCAGAGGAAGGCCCCCTGCTTTCATCAGTTTTCATGTTCGGATGCGGCAACCGTTTTGAGGTGCAGAGACTGAATCACAGCATGAGGACAAGGAGGACCCATTGTCAGAGTCTGCTATTTCAGCTCGAAACAAAAGGGATTTCCCAAAATGGGACACCCAATTTACCCCAGAATCATGCAGAATATGCCATTCTATATCGGGAAACCGCTGGTTTAGGGTTGCCCCTGTTTTTTGAAACACCTGTCCATGAAATTCTGAAATTCCATGAAGGAGTACCTCTCAAAAGATTTATATTTTCGCGTGAAGCAGCTGGAGAAAGAGAAGGCTGGCCGGAGTTCATCCTTTAGACATCTTTGGACATCTCTATATAATTAGACATCCCTAGACATCTATGGACATCTATGGACATCTATAGACATCTATAGGTTGGAGGGGGAAACTCCGACGCTGGGGAGTCATTGGTCGTGAAGGCCGAGCTTCAGCAGCGCTTAGATTTTGTGGAAGCTTTGGTAGGCGAGTTTCGCCGGGGATGGCATGGGTGCCATGATCAAAAGATGGATGATATATATGGTATATTACCATATTATTATGGAAGATACCCATATATCATTATGGTATATTAATGATAATATCACGCTCATATTATGGAAGGATAGTCATCAATCATATCAATCCGTGCTCGAACTATCAACATTACTTCATATTACTTCCCTGTTTATAGATGATTCATGGCAGAACCATCATCAATCCATTTTCATGGGGATGTCTATTCACAACCATGGCAGCGCACGGCGCATGACCATAGCAGGCCCGACGGAGGCACAAAGAAAGCTGATGCAGGATCCACCAGTCGCCGGGGATGGGATGGGAGATGATGGGAGTATACACTATTCCGGTGAATTAATTCAGGTGATTATACATCATTATACAATATCATACACTATACAGACTATACCTATACTGTGATACCTTATGTTATTCAGGTGAATTAAAGAACCATCTCTACATGAAAAGCCTGAATGTGTAGCTTCTGTTTGTATCGCGAAAAGAAGTAAGTATAGCTTTGAGCAAATGCAATGGCCTCATGATTGAATCCAGCATCTGGAACACACTGTATTGCGCTGTCAATCAGATGTTCTGATTTCCATAGCATCTTTCACAGAGAGGATACCTCACCAGCCTGACACATTTGGATTCAGCAAGAATGATGAATGTTTCACAGCTAAGACTCAGACATTGCTGTTATTTGTTGGGGATCAGTTTGTGGGGCCCAGGGGCAGGGTAGAATTGGATCAGGAAAAGCTTCTGGCAGCCCGAACGGCTGCTTTGCAGGCAGAGCTTAAGAGCGTGTCAGCAGAATGGGTGATGGGTGTGTCATAGTGTGTGCCCAATAGAGTGGTTATTTGTTGCAAGCACAGGTATTTGGGACTTCCAAGACTTGTAACCTCAGTGTCCGTTGGTTCACTTAGAGACCACTTCGCAGTGCATGATCGACATGGAGCTGGTCAAACTTGACACGTCATCAAAACACGAGATGATTTTCAGTGAAGGACTGGAATCTAGGTATGACATATGGTGTATATATATATGTATACTACACATACAAACACACTGATGTATTGGTATATGAACAATGAACATTAAAGATTAGAGACAAAAAACATACTGCAGCAGAATGCATCTATACATACATATATATATATATTATACATATACATATTTACATATAATTACAGTGTATATATATATGTATAGACTTGGATCAGATCTCCATTGAACTTTCTCTAATTTTTTCTCGCAGTCGTTTGCCATGGCGCCGGTGTTCGTTGCCGGCAAAACATCCATCCAGGCTTTTGACTTTGACACAAAGAGCCTAGAGCGGCAGATGAAGCGTCACAGTGGTGCAGGGAAGTTGCTCCATATGAAATCTATATGATCCATATATGATCCATATATGATCCATATGGTTTTGTCTAAAACTAGGCTAAATATGGTAAATTACCATCAATTCGCCCCAGTTCCACTGGTTCATCATCTTTCCCCACTGAAACGGCCATTTGGACGCTGGCGCAGTCTGGCTCAAGCTGCCTCAGCTAGCAATAACTGCCCCAGCTGTTTTGGTTGTCGGCAGAATGAGCTGCTTTGATGGCTGCTTCGGCTGGTTGTCAGGCAGGCATGTGGCTTTCATGTACAAGTGGCTTCCATACCAGGTTACAACTTCCATGTTTTGCCGCCACATCAGCAATGTGAAACTAGAGAAATTCGACCAAGACGAGCAACAAAAATGAGCTTCTGTTCACACCTTGTGGCCCCGAACTGGAGATTCTGGTCTCAGGTGCCAAGAAAAGCCAAGCGAAGCTTGCTGATGAGCCGCAGTTGATTCTGCCCACAAGCAAAGAGGCTTGCCGGGCTGAAGGGGATTCTGAATTGTATTGTCCTTACTTGGGGTGCATCCCATTTGCTAAGTGGGTTTAAACAGATAACTGATAACCATTGATAACCTACGTTGAGGTATATATCAATCGCTTGCCAAGTGGGATGCACAATGGATGGACATCGTGTGACAGCGCAGATCTTAACCCTCCAGCTACGATGATCTCTGTCATAGTCACAAGCTTACAACCACATACGTTCTTTTTTCCCCAAATTGTACGGTTTTGTTTAAACATATTTTGCAGAGATGTTATAGAAAAAATCATGTACTATCAACACACTATAAATGTTTCTTCGATATTCATTACATGTCATTACATATTATATTCAAACCATATAACTTTGGTGATGGTTCACATATCTTCAAATGACAGTTTACCCTCTGGTAATTTAACATAGCAATGGAAAATGGCCCATTTATAGATGGTTTACCTATCAAAAATGGTGATTTTCCATTGCTATGTTAGTTCACCAGAAGGTATATCATTTTACATCTCAAAAGCCTCCAAAAATCCATCGCTTCGCGGCATCAAAATTTTCGCCAGGATGGACGATCATCCTCTCGCCAAGGATCCAAAGGATCCAAGGGTTTCTGGCCATGGATGGGGAACATCACATTTTTCGACACACAAAATGACATATTTTGACATATATTATCATATTATATCATATTAATTGACATATATTATCATATTAATTGAATTTAATTGACATATTTTGACATATTTTGACTATGAGTATTGAATATTGAAAACATGACACGTGATCTATTAGGATACATATGGTAAACGCCATGGATTTATGCACTAGAATCATTGGAATATTTTTTTAACATATCAATTCCCTGGGGTTTAAGTTCTTTTTGGCGTCAATTTTGGGGGTAATGAGTTTGCAATCTTGACCGGGGTTGCTGAGGTTACAAGACTGAGAGTGGACGGTTTCACTATTCGGTCACTGGCGGCTTGGTTTGATGGACATCCCTTGAGCGTCGTCATGCGTCCACTGCGTCCATGTGTCGCTGTCCTGAGGCATGCAGCTGCCAGATTCACCCATCAAAGGTGGTGTGAAATACTCCATCACTGGAATGCCGTTGTGACCCTCTGGGTGGTTCTTTTTTGGTCCACGGATGTCCACGGACTGTGACCCTGATGCTGTGGAGAGGTCGCTGGGCGCCGGGCCAGGTACGGAGATGAACAGGCAAATGCGAAGGCGGCGCCACCAAGCAAAAGGACGCAACTTTTATATCCTTTTATTGCAACTTTCCTGCCATGACGTCATGTTTGGAAGCAAAGCAATGACACATGAATTCTTTGAGAACGTCTCACGTTGTCTTCGATGTGTAGGGCTGAACAAACTGAAATTCTTCCGATCAGCTAGGAGCGGCAAGTGGTCCGAAAACAGTGCAAGCGGCAAATGGGGTGCAAACAGCACCACGAGCAACAAGTGGGGGGCCAACAGTAGCAGCGGCAACAAGTTTGGCAAGAGCGGCAGCAACATTTGGAACAGCGCCAGTGGCAGGCAATATTCGAACACAGGCCAGCCGAATTGATGTTTCAATGAACTGGTGGGAATCCATGCAATTAGTTTGTCTTAAATTAGGGTCCCCTCAAAAGAATAATTGTCTCTCATTTCCCCATGAAAAATACCCAGAAGCTGGTGTATCGCCTATTTTGGAAGAGAGGAGATGTCATCTCAACATGATGCAATAGTTATAGGTCAAAACCTACGATACAATTTTTTTGATGAACTTCCATTCAGCAGATATCAAATGATCACCATCCCATTGCCTGGGAGATTGATCAGGGATGCCGATGCCTGACAACCAGATGGACCAACAACAGCACACCAAATATTCCATCACGGGAATGCCTTTGCTGCTCGGTGACCACGGCGATTTCTGAGGTGTTCAGTAGTGACATGTAGTGACTCAGTACAGAGTTGATCAACTGTGAGCCAGTGCATCTGCTTCTTGAGGAAATGAGAACACTTTCTGTTGGCGCATGTGGGCAGACATCGAGAGGCGCTGGACTCGGCATGATTGGAGCTCCAACAGCAAACTTGGATCTGACATGTGTTGCTGCAGCGATTTAGCGGATTGGCTGTGACTGCGGGATTCTGTGTCACGATTCTGTGTTCTAATTTGTTGTCAAAAAAAGGTAAGGCAGCAAGTCAAGTGTCCTACTGATTCCTACTGGTATTCACTGGAAAGAGATGAACAAAGTCTCCAGTACAGCCAGTGTCACTGGGAGCTATTTTGGAGGAAACCTGTCCATTGAGAATCGGAAAGTGGACACCAGCGTGGCTGCAAAACGACATTTTTCAAAAGGACAAGGATTTCTTGCCCATGATCCCAGTGATCCGTGATTTTGCCCATCAAGAATCGTCACACATCTCGAAAGTTCCGCAACTTCACAAGGATGTCAATTTCCAGTGTAAAGCATAAGGGACAGAGATGAGGCAGGTGGCCTGCTCCTCCACTTCCTGCAAACTTTAACATTAACATACATTAAAGTACATTAACATACATTAACCATAATTTTCCCCTGTTTTTCAATTCCACACACTTTTCTTCACCAGTTTGCCCAAAGACTTCCCCGTGTCTCGTCATCAGCGCGAGGATGGGAGGTGACAACCTCGGAAATTGTCGCAGCGCTTTGATTCTGCAAAGCCGCGAACAAATCAGGCAGATTTGGACCGGTCCGGGAGAGCTTTCATCATTTTTCCATCTGGTGTTTTCTTCAACATAAATCATGATTTTTATCAGTGATGTATGATATGTATGATATGTATACGTATGATTGTCAGTGTGGTATGTCCTTACTTTGATCAAAAGGGGTTCCAATTCCAGAAGCTCTCAATTGTTCACCAGTTCTTTGTTGCCTCCAAGTCCAATTCGGGCCAAGCTTGGATGCACAGCACAGAGAGAAGGGCCCTTTTGTGTTGGCACATGAGCAAAGTGGGGCAAATTCAGGAAGTCTTGGGTCATCATTATGTGTTGATTTTGGAAAGAACAGCCGCAGCAAACTCCGACTTCCGGTACTCCCCAAAGCCAACACATCTCTTGGAATTCCAGCTGACCCTGAGGGTCACAGCTACTGTCTGAGCTGCTGCGTAACCTGGAAAAGTCTGGAAATATTTGAAAATATGCGTTAGTTGGATTTAGTTGGTTGATTCAGAACGGAAGTATCCTATCGGCCAATCGGTCCATATCGGTCCTATCGCCTGTGGAGTTTCATTTCACCGGGCGACGCAGTTTTTTTTTGGCCTCGTTGAGACGCTGATGATGCTGCCTTTGAAGCAGCCAATGCATGTAGATCGGAGACGAGACACGAAAATCTGGCCCGTGTACTTGGGAATTGGCTCGAATATGTTCGAATGAATCCTGATCAAGATATATCAAGAATTATCAAGATATTTCAAGTATTTCCGAGCTCAAGTGACCCCTTGCATTACATGCAACTTTCTTGTTTGATCTTGTTTGCTTGACTGATTTGTCTGGCATGCTGAACCAAGGACTGGTGAGCTTTCTGAAATTGGTGATTTGCATGAGAAGGATGGACCAGGCAACAGGGAGGATGTTGACAGATTCCGTGGACGTTCCTTTAGGAGGCAGGTGGAAGACCCTTTCTGACACATGCAAATGTGAACCAGCAGTCTAAGCCTAAGCAAGATGGTGTGGATATTTACGGTCTCAATCCCATACAGAACCACACATGACGAATCGTCATCTGGGTTCTCCATTCCAAATATGGATGGACAATTCATAATAAATCCCTATAAAAATCATTACGTGTAAATCCCCATTAGATTCATTAGATCATGATTTTTGGGTTGCTTAAATCACTGAAATCCCCAGCACTCATGACCTTCCACGGTGTTTTTCCAAGGGCCAACTGGGGCCGACTGACGAAGGCAGCTTTCTGGCCCTGGGATTCGATGGACGGTTCCTGTACTCGGTGGCCACGGAGGGTGCTGCAGCCTGGGAGCCAAGCGAAGATGTTGTGTACATCTGTGCACCTATATGTACCCTCTGGTAAACTAACAGTTTGCTATGGAAAATCACCATTTATAATGGGAAAATCACCATTTTTAATGGGAAAATCACCATTTTTAATGGGAAAATCACAATTTTTAATGGGAAAATCACAATTTTTAATGGGAAAATCCACTATTTCTATGGCCATTTTCCATACGTTAAATTACCAGAGGGTATTATATGTGCAGCAAAATTGATTGCACACGACTTCTCCTATGGTCGCACTGCTTCTAATTCTTTGTTTCTTTCATGTTTGGGCCTTCCGATATACTACGCCAATTTCGAGGCAAAAGCGATGGCGCAGCATGTTTCACAAGTTTCTGCACGGTTGACGCGGCACAACAATCGATCTTGAAATAACCTTTGATATCCTTTGATGCAAGAGTTCATTGTGTCTGAGGAATATGTGCCTGATCCTTTGATCTTGGCTGGGTAAGTACACATGTTCTACCATTTTCATCCATTTTCTGTACCCTCATCCAGCCAATCTGTCAAACGTATCCCATTCAGCATCCCGTGACAGCTCTGAGGCTTTTTCCGTAGATGCCGATGGCAAACTATCACCGCTTAACACAGCCACTTGGTGAACCACAGCATCTTGCAGTATGGCCAGAATGCAGCATAGGTACAACACGATCAGGACATATGAATGAAAATGAATGAATATATATATATGTATACTATATATATAACTATATATAATAACTAATGAAACAATGATCCCAATCAATATATTAAATCATTTATTATAGGACTATAGATATACAGTACTATGGGGGTGTTTCCTAAGATCATCCAGCTATTGGGGTAGCCTCCATTACCTTGACACCCAAGGTGAAGTGTGATGTGCCAGGCAGCAGGGATGTCCATTCATGGGAGGTTGCTTCCCCTCATGGGGCAACAAACACCTGCCACTTTACGGGGATTTCATGCGGTTTCACCATAGTGAACCATCAAAAACATGGATTTGATCAATCATACTTAACCATATTTTATAGAGATTTACTGTAAACATCAACAATTACTGTAAGGATTTGACTCATGAACAAACTGGGGATTTACCCACAGTTTACTTTAATGGGGGAATATGATGGTAAATTTGGAAGAATGGATTTGGGATTGTTACCCCATTCAGATTAGACATGGGTGTCTAAAACCAACCATAAGGATGATGTATACAGATGTATACAGGGGATCCATCACCAACAATACGAAGGGTTTGGTTGAACATGGATGTACCTCATCCCGTGGAATGGGGGGGTACCCATTTTCACACCCAGTTGGAAGCTGTTAAGACGTTTGAGTTGTGTAGACACAGATCGGCCCAACATCAACTTGGACTTCTTGAAGATGAGGTGTCCAAATTATTTGCAAGCTATGGAAACCATATGGAAACCATATGGAAACCATATGGAAACCATATGGAAACCATATGAAACCATGTTCTTTTCATTGCCCAACAGGGCCCAACATATCAACCCCCAGTGCTGTCTTCCAGCCATTTCACAAAGCCCGGGCTGACAGAGGTGGGGCTCATGTTGCTGTGGCTTATTCGGGTTCCTCCGGTATGGTCGCTGGTCTGAGATTGGAAGATTCTGTGAGATGTCGACGGTGAGAGACGGCAAGATGGGGTTTCGGATCAACAGCACTTTATGCAAATGGACTGAGGTTGCGACAGTGTATTTTCTGTGCTTGGTGATGGACATAATTAGTTTGATGTATATACTTGGGATAATATGATGGAAAATTGGGCGACTAGTACTGCAGATTGTGTGTTTTTGACATGAACGACTCACTGAGTTCAAAGTTCAGACCGGAACGTTGGCCTGTAGCGAACTGTAGCGCCGAAGGTTGTAAGTCCTGCCTACCATGGTGGTGGCATCAACATTATGAAGATCAAAGCGGATGGAAGTCTCTCAGAGGCACGTTGTTAGTACCGTAAATTAGCACTGTTGAGTTTAGGACCAGCAGGTTGTCAGTGGAGGGCACGAGAATCCATACGAATCATGTCTTGGGGAGAGGATGTTTGAAGGGAAGGGAAACGACACAACAACGAAACAGCAACGCTCAAGAGTCTCGTTTTGCACGCAGCAAAAACACGGATTTTCATTTTTATAAGACTTAAACTTGCCTGCAACGATCAGCCGATCAGGCCTCTTCAATCATGCACAAAGGTGACAGCCAGGCGAATTGTGAGTGGCTCTTGTCTTCGTGAGAATTGACATTGGTTGCCGTCTCTGGCGTTGATCACTGTTATCCTCTTTGTTGTGCAAGATCTGTAAGCACCCAAGCTCTCTTGCACCCGCGAAGAGATGGAAGCTCTCCGAGTAAGTTCTCCCCATTTTTTTTGTGTGTGTCTCCTTTTTTCTTTTCTATTTACTTCCCTAATTTCTTGCCTATTTCGATCAGAGTTGAACGGGGGAAGGGACTTGTCTGGTCCAGGCGCATCCGCACTCGTGTTTCATTGATGCCAGCGGAAAGTACGGCCTGATCTCTGATCTTGGGCTCGACAAGATTTATGTCATCCGGCCATGAATTTAATGTGGATTTGTTGATGACATATGCCCTATATATTCGTATATGCATACTACAACTTCCAGAGTCGTGATATTGCCTTCCTGTTCATTCCTCTTCTGCAGCTTGGTATTCCTCCAGATATAGTTTGCAACAAGATGCAACAGGGCAATCATCGAAGGAGAACAAGTCATGGGAAATCCGAGTTGCAGATGTTTGGCGATAAAATCGTTGGAGCCTTGAGATGCGTTTGAGGTGTATCGCCTTGATGTGATTGGCGGACAGTTGGTTGAAGAACAAGTTCTGCAGACAGCTGAGAAAGCAGGGCCAAGACACATGTGTCGCTGGGTCGCACTTGGCTGTGCATGTGTCGGAGTTCTTGAGTGGAAGATGATGGCAACAAAACATAACAACACCTGTGATGAGATGGTGTAGAAACTCGTAGCTGTGGCGATCTGATCGCACATCCAGATGACAAGACACAACGACCGTCCTGCCGGCAATAGTAACCTCCAAACATCTCAGCTGGAGACACTTGGAGGCCAAAGCCTTAAACTCTCATGGGAAGCTTGAAAATTCGACATCTTCGACTGCCAACCTCTTGAGGTTTCCATCCCAAGGGAGAATTTGTGCTGCTTGGTCGCACTGACTCCACCATAGCTGGCTTCTGGGCTGCGTTCATTGCTGAGGTATGGCATCAACGAGCTGGATTGCACCATCAATGTCTATGCCTTTGGGAAGGCCCGGCATTTCCGCACTGCCCGCACTGTGCCACTGAAGTGGTTCCATTTGGATTTGTCATGATTTGTCCCATCCATTCCCATCCAGGAGCAGAAACTCGAAATCTGCCTGCCTCCCGTGCAGGACGATACCATCCTTGGCCCAATCTTGCAGACAGTGTCAACTCTACCAGAAGGCCTTGACCTCAGTACCAGTTGCCTCCTTTGCAGTCATGATATGGGTCTGAACATGTTGGCAAAACCCAAACTCCCAATGGTCCATCATTATTTCCTCATGAAAATGCCCAATCCAGTGTGTGATATGATGTGATATGATGTGGAAAAAAACACAATTTCCAGACAAACTCATTTATGGATTTCCATAGTGTTGCGATTTGTTGGGAAAGCCCCGCCTTTTAAAGTATTTTGAATCATTTTGAACCCCAAAACATCCATTATATAACGTATGTTAACATACATTTAACATACATTAACATACATTAACACATATACATACATTAAAAATCATTTAAAATCAGTCGCAACATCCTTTAACATCCATTCAACATCCATTTCACATATTTGGATATCTTTGGAACCCATATCAATCATTCCCTGAGGTTACAACAACCATGACCATGAGAACGCCAAGAACGCCAACGGCGATCCGGCCTCTGGCCCCAACCGGCCGTCGCAGACCAATGCCACGGCGGATCTCCAGGTGTCGCCAGATGGGCGCTTCCTGAAGCTCGGCCAGACATGGTGAACCAATGGCAGAGTTCTGATGATATTCCTCTGTATCAATTTATGTCGGTATACGGTATATGTATATATAAATATAGATATGCCATTAATGTAGTTATAGGATGTTACAGGTATATCTATATCTAATATCTATATATCTATATATCTATATATCTATATCTATATCTATATATATATATTTAGAGATACTTTGGATTCATTCAATAGTTCTATTATATGATATGGTAGACACAGCATTCATAGATATTCCATTCGTATCTGCCAGGTACGGCTCGAACCGTGGCCACGACAGCCTGGTCTGTTTCAGCATCTCCAAAGATGGCTTGCTGAAACTGGAAGGCTTCACTTACACAGGAGGAGCTGCTGAGGATGGCTGAGGATGGCTGAGGATGGCTGAGGGCTGAGATTTTGCTGTTGGGATGGATATAGAATGATAGAGATGGAGACTTTGGTGTCGAAATCGAAGTCCCAGAGGATTACAACCTGAGGGAATTCTCCAAATGTGCCAGAATGTCCCTTTGCTGTTTATCGATGGTTCAGGAGAGCATCCTCGGAATTTTACCATCCATCCATCTGGAAATTGGATCTTGGTGGCGAACCAAGATACTCGACTCAACACTGCTGACATTGTGCACAGACAGTCTGTGAGGTTTTCAACATGTGGCTTTCGTATGTGAGAGGGCATTGCATTGCAAGCTCTGAGAAGTGCGTTTTGAATTCTTGAAGATTCGTCTGATATCTTCTGATGTCTTTTTTGACATGTTTCATTTTCACCAAACTAACAGCGAACCTCTGGCAGGACAGTGACAATGTGGTCGTCTTCCGCCGCGATCGTCGCTCTGGGAAGCTGGAAGACAGTGGTCAACGGGCGAAGATGAAGACCGCCAGGTGGGAGCCGGGTCCCCCAAATAGCCATTGAGGGTGCCGATGATCCATTGGATTTTGGGGTGCCTTACCTTATTTTGGGTAAATTTGGTGCAATTGGTCGTTTTTGAAGATATTTTGAGGATTTTGAGGCATCCCCAAAACCGAACTTGGCACCGGGCAGTCGCCAGGTGCATCATCTGGGGCAACCCCAGGCGGAAGCTGACCAAACCCACCTGGCACACGGTGGCAAGCCTCACGCCAGAGCAGAAGGCCCGTGTCTAGAAATGGGGCACTCCACCCTCAATATGGCCATTTTAATATAGGGGAACTATGGGGGAAATGGATGGAACTGTTGATTGAGCAGTGGATTTAGGGTATGTATAGGGTATGTATAATGTATACAGATGTATACCTAATTTTCAGACAAAGCCTGGAGAAACCTTGCTGAGACCTGGAGATTCGCAAAGAGAGGTAGGGCACTTTTTGACTGACCGAATCTCTTGAGACCACATCTGTTACTGGGAATGAAAACCGTGTGTGGCCGTTCAGGGTATCAACCTCTATGTGAAAGTTGTGCCTTGGCGGCTCAGGATGCCGGCTAGAATTGTCTTTGGCAAGGAAAAACATGAAACCGTGCACTGTAGAACCTGCATGACAGCCATGTCATGATCACTCTGTTTTGATCAAGGATGATTCCTGTTCGCTTGCCTTGGGACATGTCTGAGCCATACCGAAACTCGTAAGGTGTATCATTACGAGGTATGGTCGAACAACAAACTCTATCAGTTCTCAGGTCAAAGTCAGCTCCGTGCGAAGCTTAAACAGCTTGCGAGGTGGATTTTGGACGGACAGCATTTTTCATCCATACGTGACAATCACGGAACAGTAGTAAAACGACTGAGAGCAACTGCAACCTGGCCGGGCAACAAACGGATACAGGATTTCATCATACTATAACATACTAATAAATCCCATTATACATCCCATGAATTCCCATGATATATTCCATTATATACTCCATTATCCCATTAAAGAACCATATATCCCATTGTCATATATCCCATTCTATACCTTATATAATTCCAATTGTGTTTCATGAAAGAACCATTATATCCATTTACAGGAACGGCCACAATTATAGAACGGATTTAGGAGTACGTAATCCTCCGGATCCACATACCCCGGAGAATATGGCCTTATATGGTACAGTACATACCTCGGTCCTCCAATTCCCATTGAAACCACCGGCAACACGCAGATTGTGTGAGTCTTGGAGGTTACTTACATGTATTTACATAATTTTATGTATCTTTCTGGGACCCTGGAAGAATGTACATAGAAACCAGAATTATAGAACGGAATTGTTGCAAATTTAATTATAGAACACGCAATTATAGAACAGAATTGGTAAACGTGAGAAATATTGGGGAAAACACAATTATGGAACACATCAAGAATTATAGAACGACAATGAACGACAAAAAAATGTTAGGAGTAAGTTGAGAGTAAGTTTTTTTCCAACGTTCTGAGGAAACAGGAATTATGGAACAACAGGGTACGGTAAACCGTACTTTCGTAGTCCTCAACTTCTGTTCTATAATTGTGGCCGGGACCGATCCTATTATACATTCCATTACACATCCCAGTATATTAAATACATCTCACATAATATAATAATATATATATATATATTTATTTTCCGTGAAATATACTCCAAATTATCCCATTAAAGAACCATATATCCCATTGTCATATATCCCATTCTATACCTTATATAATTCCAATTGTGTTTCATGAAAGAACCATATTATCCCATCATTATCCGATGAAACCCACCATTGCTGAAGTCCGCCTTGGCCGAAATTCAGGACGTGCCGCACGACGTCGTTCTGGGTGATGCCACCGGCCTGGTGACGCTGCGGGTGAGGGATGATCAGCTGAAGCTCTGTGTGGAAGGTGCCGCCGTGGATGGATGGGTTATACCATGGTTTCATCACCATCAAAATATGGTTTAATCATGTTTAATCACCATCAAAGTGTGGTTTAATCATGTTTAATCACCATCAGAATATGGGTGGATGGATGGTTTATATTAATGTTTATACCAGCCATAAAAAAAATTGATGGTGATGGTGATATCAGCCATAGATGGTGATTTTGGGGATGGTGGATCCATGTGGAAAACGGGTCATTTTTTTTTCCCACCAGGTGATGGCAGTTTTAATGGGGAACATTGTGGATTTGTTTGGAAAAAAGGTGGCGATTCATGGTGATTCTGTGGGGAAACTGAGGTTTTAAATGTTTTTTACACCATGGTTTTTGTTTTCTTCCTTTCCAGCACTTTCAGACAAAGCCAAATAAGGGACCAGACCATCAAGTCAATCTTCGCAAAGTCCATGACAAGGTCCATGACTCTCTCAGAACCTGCAAGTCTAAGATTTTGAAAGTCTCTACGATAATTATCTACGATATCCATATCATAATGTTCAAATCTGTTCAAACCCGTTCAAACCTGTTGAAACAAGATGCCAGCGAAGGTGTGCCACAACATGATGCCCTGACAATGTGACCAAGAGGTCACCATGCCCACCGCTGAGGTGCAATCCTTCGTATCCAGAACGCACAGATCCGAATGGTGGCGAACCATATGCGGTTGGAGGTGCAGTCGAGCTATGTGGGAGTTGTCAAGTTGTCCTGCATCTGGCGTCAAGCAGGGTTTCTGGTTCGCTCAGCTCAATTATCGCAATTGAGTTTCAGTGTTTGTAGATGTTTGTAGATGTTTGTAGATGTTTGTAGATGTTTGTAGATGTTTGTAGATGTTTGTAGCTTCTATTAGCTGCATTATTAGCTCCGCATCAAGAAAGCATCGCCACTTTTTCAGCTGCACTTAGAATGAAGCATTAGCCCCTTTTGAGGTGAGCAAGTGGGGTGTTCTGAAAGCAGCTGAGCACGAAGACATTGTGCCTAGGGTGCATTTTGGTGAAGTTTGTTGACTTCCAAATGCTGACTGGTTTCAGCAGACGTCAACTGGTTGGTGGTTTCAGACGTACTTATATATATATATACATATATTATAACACTTAGTAAAAAACTATAATAATGCAGACATATTTATTTCCAACCATTTGGTATGATGATCCTGAATGACTAATATTCTTCAGGGGCGTTGAAACCACTCACCAGGCAATGTATCTTAATAAATCTTAACAAATTAATATTTTCCATACCTTCACCCAAATTCCAAAGTAGCACCATGTCAGCTAGCTCAGGAGCCGTGCATCAGCAACGATGTGTCAGCTGTGGAATATGAGCTGAAGTGAGAGATCCTTTCAGAGCTGGGTGAAAACGGATCCGAGCACTTTTTTGAGAATTGGGTGAATCTTTATATTGTGTATATCTAGTATATCATATACTCACTATACATATTGTGTATACGTACACACACACACACTATATATATATATATTAGATATGGTAATGTACAAACTGTATATATATATACAATATATATATATATATACAATATATATATATATACAATATACATATATACAATATATATATACACATAATATATATATACAATATATATATATACTATATATATATACAATATATATATACAAATATATATATACATATATATATATATATATATACATATATATATACAATATATATACAATATATACAAATATATATATACAATATATATATACAATATAATATATACAATATATATATATACAATATATATACAATATATATATACAATATATATACAATATATATACAATATATATACAATATATATACAATATATATACAATATATATACAATATATATACAATATATATACAATATATATACAATATATATACAATATATATACAATATATATACAATATATATACATCTACATATATATATATTATTAATTATATAATATATATATGTTATATTATATAGTATACATATACATATATTTGTATATGTATATATATAAATATGTATATGTATACATATATATATATGTATATGTATACTATATAATATATAATATATATGTATACATACATATGTATAAACACATATATGTATACATACATATATACATATACATGTATATACATGTGTATATATACACAGTATACATGTAATCATAATATATATTTATACATACATACACGTACATATGTCGGGTTAGTATCCGTATTAACGAGCAGTATTAATGAGTCGCAAGTCTAAACATGTATTGTATCCATTTTTTAAAGACAATTCTCCTTCCCTCCCTCTTGCTGACCCATTCGCATCACAGCCATCCTGATAGGCCAAGTGGCGCGGAGCGTGTCTCCCCACGAAGGCGTGGAAGAGCTCGGCCTCATCATTGTTTTCAGTTTTTTTTTCCATCATTTCCTTCGTTGAGCTAAGCAAGGTTTTTTTTTTTGAAATGATAATTGGAAAACGATAATTCATGTTGCTTTTTTTCCACCTAAGAAAGGTAAGATACGCAGGGCTGATTCGACCTTGGGATACCAAATCCCTGAGACCTGGCTGTAGGTGGCCGGGCGCGTGGACGAAATGCTGCTGTTCTCTCGTGGTTTGTCGGACACCGACGCTGGACTTCTCCAGGCGAGGTCCAACAGGGGAACTATCGTGGCATTCAGGGTTTAGGTATACGGTATACCCCAAAAATACCCAAGATATACTGTATCAACATGTTATGATTATATAGGATTATCGGATATATATAAATATATATATATATATTAAGGTGACAGATTGAGGCTTAATTTTGACAACGTTGTTGAACCCAACGGCCGTTTTCTAATGGTATAGTTGCTCAATGTTACCTCAAAATGGCGATGAGTGACTTGGAGGATAATGAGCACCAGTGACTTTGAAATGGGTTGGTCTGGTTTATCATCATTTTCCTGGTAGCATCTGGTAGCATTCTATTTTTGGAGTATCCCCCATTTTCCAAAAACAGGTCCATTATGTACACATATATATAAATATATATATAGTGTCAACCCTGGATTAATAAACCCCTAGATTGTTTAATTGGGAGGGTACCATTTAAGTATCATATTATGACTATTGGAAGGGTACCCCCCTAATTAATAAACCAGGGTTTATTAATCCGGGGTCGACATTACATATGTCCAGCGGTGAACACACTACATATTTTCTGATGCTTCAAGAAGCAGTTCTTGGGCTCGGCAGGGCGGCTGCTTACCCAACTCGGAGGGAATCCTGCAGGATGCCGGGCGGCGCAGAGGCAGTGTTTTTTTTTGGCTCCAAGACACCGTTGGGCGAAGATACTATATATACATTATGTATATATATATATATACATATATATACACATATATATATATATATAAATACAGTATATATATATAATATTGATGGTGTGTATATATGCAGAGTCACCCCCCAAAATTTGGCAACGCTCTTCCCAGCCGCTTTGAAATTGGTGCAGTTGACCAGTGACGTCGATCCTGAGGTCTCGATGCTTGGGGATCCAGGTTTCCATCCGTGCCCCGGGGTCCGATTTGGTCATGGCAAGCTGGAAAATCAAGTATAAATGGAAGGGTTAATGGTCGGTTAATGGTCGGTTAATGGGAACTTCAACTATTCATGATGGATGATTCATTGATCTTCAATCGACATCTCTATGTCTTTGCAGAGACTTGTTTCCCCGTGGCTTCGCAGCTCTCAGGTACAGCTCTCAAACCGGAGAGCCCAAGCCGCAGACCAAGATGTGGGGAATCAGCCAGATAAGAGAAAGATCGCCTGTAGGCATTGTTGGCATTGTAGGCTGCAGCGATTTGCCAAGGTGGATTGGATTCAAATCTTAGGGACATTTTTCACTTGATCACACTTTATCAAACTTATTATATTAATCTTATTATCACATTATCAAGCTTTATCAAAGTGGTTGAACCACGTTGAACCCCCCTTTAGGGGGGCCACTGTTTCACGTTTAGTCAGCCAGGTCAGCCCCCCGTCCCCCGTCCAGGTGGCAAGCGAGAGGTGGTCTCTTACGACTCTCTTTAGAGGAAATTGGCCATCGCTTTGGCGAGGACGGCAATGAGTTGTCAGCTGGAAACAACTCAGCTATTCGTGTAATCAGTGTAAGGTATATGATATGTATGTGTAATCACAATGTGTAATTGTGTAATATACACATGTTTTTTTCTCCGTATGTGTACCTATCTATATCTATATCTATATCTATATCTATATCGATATCTATATCGATATCTATATCTATATCTATATGACGATGAAACATATCTTAGACCAACGGGTAATTCTCTTATATATTCTGGCCGGGGCTTCAGGAGATCGCACAAGACGTGGTCCGTTGTGCCAAAGAGTTGGACAAGTGACTCCTCCGAAAACGGGGAAGGCCTGGATGGCCTGGATCCATCTTTGTTCCATCGTCCATTTGGGGCTGAGAGTTGGGGACCCATGGGAAATCAATGGGAAATCAATGGGAAATCAATGGGAAATCAATGGGAAATCAATGGGAAATCACTTTGGAAGTCTCCAAAATGATCAGGAGAACTATGAAGAGCCATAGTCACTATAGTCTTGGACGGTCACCAATGGAGAAACCACCTACTGTCGCTGGATCGACGGAATTTCTTGGCAGCGAGGTACGATGCCTCCCGGCGCGTAGGAGTGGAGTTGCCATGGCATCCCATGGAGGATCGTGAATTGGAACCCGCAGAGGCGGGATTTCAGGGCACATCCTGGGGGGCACAGGCAGAAGGGGATGAACCCTTGGGACCCTTAACAGTTATAACACTTCGGACTTGAATTCGATTTATATCGATTTATTTGATTTAAATTCGAAGTCTTCGGACTCTTCGCTCCGTGTGTTTGAGAAGTCGTTGAAAACGCTCGTTCGGCTCAAGGGCTGCTCGATATGACATATGCAAAGCGTGGCGGAGTTCACATGAGTTCACACGGATCCTATTTCATCATGAGCCAATGAGCGCTTTAATCATGTTTGTAAGGCCGAACTTGCACATCTTATTGCAGGATCGAGGAAACATCTCACACAACGACATGATGCGCGTGCTCCAGGTTTGAGTCAAAAAAGGCCATACTTACTCCTATCCAAAAGACTGAAGCAATGCAATGCAACCGAATGAACACATCCATTTTTGACTGGGAGAACAGTCGGGCAGGGTCGTTGGACCCTCTCTGCGGGATGCAGCTGTCCAGAGCACGAGCTGGAAGTTTGCTGCGCTGGACACGATGGGCAACGCAAAAGATGGGCTGGCGGCTTTGGGTTCCTTGGTGGGAACATAGCAGGAGAAGCCCAGTTTCTTATGTTTTCTTTTTGGCCATGGAAAGTGTAGCTTTTTGAAATGTGAGGTTCAAAGAAGTCTTGACTTTTGAGATAACATATGGTCATTATGATAACATGATATAAAGTGATTATCAGACGAAAGTCAATCTTTGGGACCTTTGGCCCCGTGGTAGCTGAAAATTTGTTGGCGATGTGGATCTGGGATCACTGAGGTGTTGCTGGTGGCATGGATTGCCCACTACCTCCACGGAGCCTTGGATGAATATCGGGGACAGGAAGGGTCCCAGGGTGCTGCCAGGATAAAGATTGCTCTTTGAAAGATAAGTGAAATCGTGAAATCAAGTGATATTAGTTGATATCATTGTAGTTGCACCTTTCATCACCTTTCTGTATTTTGTGTTGAACCTTGGTTCTTATGGACAAGAACGTCTTGGCTCAATCCAGGTGTTCGACGGGTCCGCCTACACCTTGCGAAGACACGGGCCACTGACAGTGTGCGTGAGGCGATGCGGGAAACAGCTTAAGAAACTCCTTTCATTTGTGTTACAACAGTGTTGGCTCGTAGAATCTGCTATGACATAATGATTTAGCTTCGACGTAAAATTCACAGAGTGACCATCCCAAAACACTTAAATCACAATCAGAACAGTGGTAGGTGTTCGGCTCCCTGGTTGTTGTAGCAGTGTACTTCCAGAGGCAATCCGTTGTAAGCTCCATCCCTGTCGTTGATTTGCTCCGCTCAACCCTGCAGCGCATGCAACGGATCGTCGCTCGCTGCCCATCTCTACATATGATGTTTCTTTGGCAGCACTGGGCTGCAGGCTAATCAGCTTGGCGTAGGATGTCATAGGTACTATGGAATAGAAGTTTGTTTGCACAGACGTCTTGCAGCTTTGCTGTGAAAAGCACATGACACTGGGGTATGTGGCCATCATGTCATGTAGAGCCTTGTTGGACAAATTTGGACAAGGTACTGGCCAACGTGGTATGCACACACAGCCTTGCAGCAAATCATCCTACTGGGCTTGAAAGAAATGCGCTGTGCTCTGCAGTGGTCTACGTACAAACGACAGCTGCTCGGACGTGCAAGAGCTTTGGGCTGGTGCTGCCATGTCTTTTTATCTTCAATTCTGCATTCTACTTTCAAAGAAAAAAACATGATCGCAAGATATGCACAAGCGTTAACACGTGTCAGTTCCACCTCCGTTGCGACACATCCAAGGATCATGACGCTCCGAGACACTTCCAGGATTTCGTTGGACTGGGTCGTGCCCCAGCCCGAAGTGGCAGCTCAGTTGCACCCGTGAAAAGCCTGCTGGCATGGCTGAGTTTGTGCTGTCCACTTGCCGAGGCTCTACCTGATGGCCCTGTGTGTGTTTTGCTTCATGGTGCAATCCAGGACAGCTGAAAGCCGGTGCCAGTCAAAAACCGGCCTGAAGATGCATTTGCCCAGTTCATTCCCAGCAAACTCAAGCTGGACTAGCGCAGCACTCACCACAACCATCTAAAAACTAAAAACTAAAAACTAAAAACAAGGTTCACTGTGCACATGAGTAATTTGGGTGTCATTCCCAACCATATCCAACGATCAAACATCCTGGCTCCAAGAATTGCGGAGTTTCTTGACCCAGCGGCGCCGGACCATGGAAATCTTCCATGGTCACATGGCAAGGACAGCCGCAGTTCCACCATGAAGGATTTGGCCAAAGAGTTAGCCGCACGAGGCATCTTGACTCTGCGCCTCGGACGGAAAAAACATATTGCCCCCGATAGGAAACGGGGAGAATCCCCACCAGAGATGGGTGAATCATGGTGAATCTTTAAATGTTTAATCAACATGTAACAAACAGGATGGATTTTGAGAGATTTATATAGTTGGATGTTGGATTATGTTGGATTTGCGCCGTACATGGGTATCTACGAACAGCAACCGGGAATAGAAAACCATCATAAGAGTTTGACCAAGGGGATTTACACTTTAATGGGAAACATGATGATAGACCATGATAGACCATTGGATTTCTGGACTCCCTATTTTCAGACAAACCCATGTTGATGTAATCAGTCAGATCTCGTTTGTGACGCGGTACACTGTACATCAAAGTACAGTCGTCAGCCCAGGGTTATGAATCGACGTGGCTACGGAGATTTGACAATGGATGCGTCGACGGCTCGAGTTACCCTATTTGGCTTTGACGAGGACAGGTGGCAGGTGGGTGGCAGGGTCTGGCAGGGAAAGTTGTGCCCCCTGCGATGGCAAAGGACCTGGATGAAGTGCTCCTGGAGGTTGGTCGTAAAGCGCCCGGACGTCCCGTTGCGGTGGTCGGTTTCTCATGCGGCTCAGGCGGGGATACGAAAATCTGCCAAGCTGCCTGACCACTTTGGTGGGCTTTGGAGGGCTCAGCACGCCTGGTAGCTCCAACTAGATTTTTCCAACAGCTTCCGAACATTCTTTCCATGGTTTCGACTCGGTTTGACATGATTATATATTAATATAAATTCTAGAATCGGAATGAATCTTATATACATTATATACATTATACACATTGTATATATAGATTGGTTGCAACTTCGACAGGTTTCGCTGGCAGATATGGGGCCTTGCGCTCCCACCTCTCAGCCTGGATGGATGAATCTTGGATGCACCGGCGATGCAAAGTGACACCGTGGTCGAAACATGTTGAAACTGAGGTTAGTAATGGTTAGTATTGGTTAGCAGTGGTTGATATTGGTTAATCATGGTTAGCAGTGGTTGATATTGGTCAATCAATGTTAATCATGCTTAGTAGTGGTTAATATTGGTTAATCATGGTTACTTAATGTTACAAAATATTGGTGATTAACCTGATTAATGGTGATTAATGGTGATTCACCAATATTAAGCAATAATTAATTATTGATGGTTGTTGCGTTTCAGATGTTGTTTCCACCAATCAAAAGAGATGGTCATTGCCGAGATTCGAAAGCCGGGCTGTGCATATGAAGACTCCTGCTATTGACCATCATTATCAATCCCATCATTAGAAAGCTGTTGGAGGATTTCTGAACTAATGTGGGCAACCCTGGCTGCCATAAACCTACCATTTGGAGATGGCTTGTACCCATAAAAATGGTGATGTTGGGGATTCGGGGATGGTTTATCAATTTGAGTTTACCACTTTATTTGCGATCCATAGTGACCATAGTGATCATAGTGATCCACTTTTCCTACCGCAGGGTATCCTCTCGGGATGTCGCTGAGGACAATGGACTCTCCAGGACCATCCCGCGACTTCTCTGCGTTGCCGGCAACCCAGGGATTGTTCCTGCCTCGTGTCATCTCGTGTCCATTGTGTCAGCCAAAAACATCGGAAAGTGATGGAAAGGGCCAAGGGGATGCGCAGCCTGGGGCCAATTCCAGATCTCTGAGCATCTCTGAGCATGGGTTTCCTAAAGTGGGGGTACCCCAAGTTTATCGTCCATTTTATTTTCTGAAAAAAAACATGAAATAAACTCTCCAGCTATTGGGGTTCCCCGATGGAAAGCTGGAAACCTCCATGTCAGGTGTGTTACGATCCCGGCTTTCATGTCGTGAAGGCCATGCAAAAGGTGCCGTTGCCATACCGATGGGCTCGGCACCCAGTCGTGAGGGTCGGCAAAAAGGGCACTGGCGAGGTGTTTTCAGTGGACATCAGTGGTATCTGGAAATCTCATGACATCTCATCAGCATGTCCAACCTGGAATTATATCGTCAATATTTGTGAATATTCGTCCATATTGGATCATATTGGTGCATATAGTGATATCTCATCACGTGCAGGTGGACAAAGCTCACATGAAAAATGGTGACACCCGCTGACTGGTCAATTGCCGCCGTACCCAACCGCATCAACTAGCCATTCACCGGCGTATAGTATTATAGTATTATAGTATAGTCCCTCATTTTGGGACATTTCCCATGCTTGTTGGTTAAGATCCACATTTCTTGTTGGTGAAACACATTAACTCATGTTAACTCTTCATTTTGGTGGGTTGAATGCCATCCTTTTCATTGGTCAACGCCCCATTTTTGGTTGGTTCAGTTGCTGAATTTCAACTCAGGGCTTGGATCTGGCCCTGCGATATCAGTATGTCTATCGTCATCGAGAGACCTGGAAACAGAAGTCTCCCTCCTCGGCGGAAGTGGTGAAGGCTGGGGAGCATTTTAGGATTCGAAACTTTTTTTTTCACAGGAGATGCTGATGGATTAAGCCTGAGCCTAAGTTTATTTATGACTATTGGAGACTTGTTTAAAGATGATGCTCAGTATTGTAGCGAAGTTGCTGCATTTCTGGGACACATGACATGTTGGGACTGCTGTTTGGTTCTGTGGATCTGCCCTGAGCAGATGGTGCTGGATCCGGCTCAAAGCTTCGACAACGTCTACCGCAACGTCACGAAACTGTCAGGCGAAAGTGCATGTGTCGGCCACATTTGTTTTGGTGAGAGCTGTTGTTTTCCCATGGATGAAACCCAAACTTGCACCAAATGTCCGACATGTCCTGAACAACTCAAGTAGTCCAACTTAAACTTAGAAGACTTCTGTGCAGTGCAACAAGACTATTATATACTATTATATACTTTTTGCCAAGATGTTTTCATTTGTTCTACAAGTTCGTGAGCAAAGGTAATGTGAATTCAAGTGTTGTTGTGCTTTTCCCTTCACATTTGGGTTTGTCTGACTGATAAGAAATGGATTCTGGATTATCAAGATTTTCCCGTATTTCCCTGATTAAAAAGGCCGTAACAATTTGTGATCACTACTCCCCCTTTCAAGGCTTGGCCCACATTTGAACAGCGGCCGTTGAAGGCTTCGGATGTAGCAACACCTGGCTGGAAAAGCAGCAGCCCTCTTTGAAAGACATGCAGCTGCCCTGCTTGCTGATCAACTCGTTCCCCGCCGGGGAGTTCGCCGAAAAAAGCCGTAGCAAATCAGTAGCTAATCAGTAGCAAATCAGTAGCTATAAGGATGTTCGCCCCATTTTTGGACACGGCCAATGTTTCGCTCCGGCTGAGGCGAGATGATCCCATTTGCGTTTGGGAAAACGTGGAAGAACATGCCTCGAACATTGAGCAGAACCCGTACTTGGCATTGGCAGAATTGCAGCTCTGCAGCATGCGCCATAGCGTGACATCATCATATATAGATGCGTTTGTTTATGTTTTCACGCAACATGGGCACACTAATGCTGTATCGTCCGAGCCTTGAAGTCACTTCAAATGTCCCTGACATGGAACCTGCAGAACTGGTGTCAGCTCCTTCGAATGCTTTTCAAGCGTTCTCAACTAGCACTTGTTCGACTGAGAAATTGTCAAAGACTGCCAAGCTCAGGCAGCGTGGTTCGCATGGCTGCAAGCTACTCGACCAGGAGCCCTAAATTTGCAATATATAATTTTATAATTAATATAATACATAATATATATATATGTATAAATATTGTATACACAAATGATTATTATATATATACATATATATATATTGTATATATATATAATATGTTGCGTCTGAATGTTTCCATAAATGAGGATGCCCAACATGTTACCAAACATGACCTTTACATCGTTCCGGGAACCGTTCCGTCGATTCAGGTTTGACCTGTGGGGCTTCAACTCAGTTGGCAACCGCATGATCGGCGATTTTGTCCTTGCTTCATGGGCAGAGCTGAAAGAGACCAAGGGATCCGGCGAACGCAGCCCATGATGGGCGCGGGATGTTGGCCAAAGAATGCTGCCAACCACAGGGGCATAGCTTCCTTGAAGCATTTTGGTAAGTTGTTCCCACGTAAAGAAGCTAGAGACTCCTGAAAGTTTCGGTAAACACGAGATAAATTGCGGACCTGTGCCCCCAGCTGACGCGAATCCATTCATTTTCCAGGTTCCTAGCTGCCAGTTTGGTCGATGCTTTCTAGAAGCTGTTGCCTACATACATTACATTGTTGGCTACATACATCCACATTGCCTTCTTATTTAGCATTCAGATATTTGATGATTTAGAACAGTGGAGACAGATCTTATTATGATCAACATTGGCTAATAAATGCTAGGAGCTGTTCTCTATGCTATTCGTTTGCAACCTCCCTGGCTTGTTCTGATGTTTCAGCTATTACAAGACCAGGGTCCAGGGTGGACAAGTTTCCTTGTCTTCATCAGCCTATTGCTTTCCCTGTTCTGGACATCATGTTGAACTGATCAGAGGGTTTCCAAACGAAAGCAGTTGCATCCAGATATACAATGATACACTGACAAGCCAAGGCTTAGAAAGGCAGGAGCAACCAATGCGATGCTTTGAGCTGCCAGTGCCATTTTTTGACCACCAGGCCATCGGCTCAATTCTGCCAGCACCTGTCCGCATTTGTAATTGGACAAGGTGTTTTTGGGTTAGCCGAGACCCACCATGCAAGCCCTTGGGCGCTATCGAAGTGACCAAGTGGCAGATTCAGTGGAGACAACTTCTGCAGAGTGCAGATTTGCTTGTGCCTTTGCAGAAAAGAGTGGGCCGATGAAACTTCGTGACCGTCTGGCAGTTTATGGTAGCTAATATCATCTAATATCTTTGTTTTACTTCCCTTGTTGTCATACGTCTCTAATTGTCCTTTTTGATCTGTATAAACATTATCAAGCAGCCCCTTGTGGGGTGTCAAGAATCAGCTTGTGACACTTCTACCAGGCCAAGTACAATGCTCGGTCGCCATACATTCGTCGCATTATGGATAAAACTCCGCTTTTTGGGTTTACCCAAGAATTGAGTACCATCACACACACACACACAAAAAAAAAAGGGATGCCGCCCCCTGCCGCCGACCCCTGTTGAGCCTGGTCCTTGGGGGGTGGCGGTTAACCCCCCCCGCTGCGGGAGGAGCCTGGTCCTTGGGGGGTGGAGGTTAACCCCTTGCGCGGGAGGAGCCTGGTCCTTGGGGGGTGGCGGAGCCAGTTTTTTGTCTACAAATTGGGTCCTAAATAATGGTTGAAAACAGCCTTCGAAAACAATCTTGATGAAAAAAACTAAATTCAACCCTGTTTTAACCCCTTTTCGGCACTCATTTTGTAGTGAAGAAGCCTATCCAAGGCCAGGCACTTTGTAGAGAAATTTCCAGGCAACCCATTTTGTAGATTGAGGCAAGGCATTTTGTAGAGAAAAATGCCGGGGCCACTACTAAGTGGGGGATTCTTTCTATATATTTGAATATATATACATATATACACATATTCGTATATAAATAAATAAATAAATAAAAAATAAATAAATAAATATTTAAATAAATAAATAAATATATATATATAAATATAAATATATATATATATATGTAAAAGTGTATGTGTAGACTTGGAGACATTCCGGTCAGCCATCCCTCTATTCTGCTCCGCTGAGGTTATCCTTGGGGGTGGTGGTCAACCTTCTGGCGGGAGGAGCCTGGTCCTTGGGGGGTGGCGGTTAACCCCCCCCGCTGCGGGAGGAGCCTGGTCCTTGGGGGGGTGGAGGTTAACCCCCTGCGCGGGAGGAGCCTGGTCCTTGGGGGGTGGCGGAGCCAGTTTTTTGTCTACAAATTGGGTCCTAAATAATGGTTGAAAACAGCCTTCGAAAACAATCTTGATGAAAAAAACTAAATTCAACCCTGTTTTAACCCCTTTTCGGCACTCATTTTGTAGTGAAGAAGCCTATCCAAGGCCAGGCACTTTGTAGAGAGATTTCCAGGCAACCCATTTTGTAGATTGAGGCAAGGCATTTTGTAGAGAAAAATTCGGGGATTTAAACCGGGATTTACTAAATGGGTGGCTCCAACCCCACCCCCCTAATTCGCAGGGGGTTGGATTTGTATGGATTTGTATGGATTTGTGCATACCCATTTCGGCAAATATTTCAACATTTTTGGAAGGCTGCTGTCGCGTTTTCCATTCACCTTTACAGCTTGCGAAACAACTAGGGATATCAAGGCTAATTTTGTCTAAACATCTGGTCGTGTTGAGGAGACAGGAGGATGCGAGCTCATTCCAGAGGATGTGAAGGGTCCTGAACCAGTACCTGGGCTGATGCAGACAGGGGAACTCTGGAATGGGTACAAGATGGACGAAGTACTATGTAGAAGCAGGGTCATGTCACTACAAAATGATGTTGCACTCTATGCCAATTGGGTGCACATTTTTCCATCAAAAAAGGGGAACCCAAAGTAAGGTTTTTAAACCTGACTTCTGAATTGCATCTATGAGCACTCTTGGTGCTGGAGCCGTGCAACCAGAATTGGCCAACACGACTGAACATAGAACTTTCGGCAGTGATGCCGCGCCAGTGATCAAAAAAATCCAGAGCTATGTCAAGTCAAGATAAAACAGTTTTGATCAAATGGGATGTACGAAAATGAAAATGAACAGGCAAGGAATCTAAAGGAAAGCAGTTTGATAAATCTTGCAGATTCATGGGGATGCATCAGCAGCAGTGTAAGAGGGAGCTTGACCGCCATATGTGACAAGGAACCGCAGATCTTGGAGATCGAGGCAGCACGTGCAGCTGCAGTGGCTGGGGCCGCTGCAGCTCCTCAGCCCGCTGCAGCTGCAGACGCTGGTCTGTGCAAAGGGCTTCAGCTGGGATCTGCATGGGTGGTTTGTAAGTAAAAGATAGCAAGAGGATGTAAAAGAATGTAGCAGTAATGGGATCTTGCTGCACCTGTTCCCTTGCTCGTAACTTGAGTTTCCACATGGATGGGAGGGCTTGGGATTGAATCCACTACAGAAAGGTCAAGCACACTAGCCCACTATAAAAATACGCAATACTGACTTTTGAACCTATTCGTAGCCACATGTTTGAGAGACAAAAAGGTTCTTAATTGATCTTAGCTGATGTTTCTCAATGTCTTTCAGATAAGTTGAGACAGAATCCCAGCCCAAGCATCGTGCCCAGGAGGTTCCTGACCAACAAGCGCATGCACATGGCGATGCGCAAGCGGATGGGAGGGCTTGGGGTTGAATCCACTACAGAAAGGTCAAGCACACTAGCCCACTATAAGAATACGCAATGCTGACTTTTGAACCTATTCCTAGCGACGTGTTACAGAAAGGTAACTATAATTTGATACGCTAAGCCGGTGAGCTGTGGCATGTGGCAGCCGACGTTGCTTGTGTGTGGGGCTGGGCAAGGATCCACAATTCTATGCAATTTGCTTTTGGATTCGGATCCAAGCCGGCCCATGAGGCCATCCTGAACAACTGAACCGAAGATCCATACTTTCTTCCATCATGGCTGATCATATTGTTGATATTCACCTTCATGACTCATCAAGATACATTCTGCTGGAAATCCGAAACTTGGAACATGTCTTCACGACCTCTCTGTCCTGCTCGATCCTGACCTGAAGCCATGGACCCTGACTATAGACTGTCTTCGCCGTCGGATGCAATTGACCTCTTTATCACGCTGATGCTTTGCCGAGTGGCCCATGCTGCTTGGCACTGAATGCTTGAGTTGGAGGGAAGTGTGACTTCGATGAATGCACATTGCTTGAGTGCGATTGCAAAGGCATTTCCTGATTCTGATCTTAGGACCTTCTTGGAGAGACGTATTCTGAACTCCCACACCAATTTCAAATGTTGATGCGGCAGCCTTTCGATTTGAAGTTCAGATTTGGTGTGGTGGGTAAGACCATGTACACGATTGGGGGTTTGCTTCAGAAGCTCAAAGTGAACTACTTCCCAACAGACAAGACGACCCAAATCCAGCGTCAGGTGTTGGAGAAATGGCCAAATCAATCTGGCGTACCTGAATTCATATTGCATGACGGTGTTCAACACCAAGGGGTTTGCTCAGAAACTCCTTCAGAAAGGGGGGGATGAGTACCACATGCACCTCGGCCTGCATGCTGACTCACAGAGTTCGAAGCAACAACATTTTACCTCTTTAGCTGTGCTTGAAAAGGGTCAAAAAAAAGCCCCCCACAAGTCTATATTGGGAAAGCTACAGCCCCACATGCTGGAAATACTTGTGGGGGGCTTTTTTTGGGGCCCGGAAAAGCCTCTTTTCAGCCTCTTTCTTGCCAGGAAACCGAAGATGACCAAAGTGATGGGCAAAGCCAATGCACGGCACAAGTTCTTGTCAACGAGCTTCAATCCTGGCCGCGGGCAACATTTCACTGTGCGCAAACTGTATCGGCAAAAAAAAGCACCGAGGAGACCATCATGTCCCTGTTCAGTGGACGGCCACACCGTGTGAGGCTCAAGCTGGGCAAACAGTGGCGGGACAAACGCCACATCTTCGAAGCCACTCGGCAATGATGCTCACAATTTGACAGCTTTCTTCATGTGATGCTCATCACTCAGGACCTACAGAGATTGAAATCGGTGGGTGCGTTCAATTGCGCAAACTTCCTGCGATTATGGATGCCCACGACAGGATATCCGGTGTCCAAGTCGAACCTGTTCCCACCAACAGGACCAGGGACACGGTCTGGCATATGCCTCTTTCTTGGCTACCCGCCCGATGCTTGGCGAAATTGGCGGGTGATTGCTTGAAGTGCAGCGATGGATGTGGCCTTGAGGTAGCTTTTGCCTGCGCGTTTGGGCGTTCCGAGAAGCTTTTGCAAAGTTTTAAGGGTTTTAAGGGTTTCAAGCCCTTTAAGGGTTTTAAGGGTTTAAGGGCTGGCAAACGGCAGGCTTGGACGCCCATAAGAAGCCATTGATGTGGCCTTGGGGTGCCTGTTGGCTCCGGGATGAGGCATGCCAAGAACATGTTTCAGCGTTTGAAGGGTTTGAAGCGTGTAACGCCTGGCGAACGGCAGGCTGGACCGCCCAGAAGAAGCGATGGATGTGGCCTCGGGGTAGCTTTTGCCTGCGCGGTTGGGCGTTCCGAGAAGCTTTTGCAAAGGGCTGGCAAACGGCAGGCTTGGACGCCCATAAGAAGCCATTGATGTGGCCTTGGGGTGCCTGTTGGCTGAGGATCAGGCATGCCAAGAGAATGTTTAAGCGTCTGAAGGGTTTGATTAGGCATGCCAAGAGAATGTTTAAGCGTTTAAAGGGTTTGAAGCGTGTAACGCCTGGCGAATGGCAGGCTGGACCACCCCATTGATGTGGCCTTGGGGTAGCTTGCTTGACCGCCAAGAAGCCATTGATGTGGCCGTGGGGCTTTTGCGTGCGGGGTTGGGCGTGCAATGCCGTAACAAGAGAGGGCTGTGGAGGCAAACGGCAGGCTGATCAAAGCTGCCGCGAAGCATTGAAGCATTTGAAGCTAAGAAAGACAAGTTCCACACCTGCGGTGGTCCCAGGCGCCGCCCCTGCCTTGGAGAAGGCCGGGGTCGGCGGACACCAACTTGTGAGATTCAATGACATACAGTACCCATAGGTATACCATAAGCAGTAGGCTGCCAACTTGGCATCCCAGGTCCCATCTTGTTTCCGGCGGTCTGTGGTGCCTAACGTTGCTTTCTGAACCGACAAGAAGCTAGCTCTAAAAAGCAGTTCCCACACCCTAAAAAACAAATCTCCGCCACGCCCACCACGCTTTGGCCTCGGCATGCTGCTGGTCTCCGAAGGCTAAAACACTATGGCAGTGAAGGACGGACAGGCTCCGTTTTGGACTGGCTTTTGTTCTTGCAGCTTGCCGCTTGCCTTTCTTGTTCTTGCAGCTAGCCTCTTGCTCCTCTTGTCCCCTCTTCTCTGACGCGCTCCCTCTGCTGTCGGCGGGCTTCGGCGGATACACCATCTACAATACCATCTATAATGTTGAGTATAAAACCATCTATGAGTATAAAACCATAGTTTCTCACATGTGCCCCATTTTTTCCATGGCTCGGAATGGCTTTTCAACAGGTGATCAACCTCATGGATCGTGAACTGGCCCTGGCAGCCAACTTATCGCTGCCTGGCAGATGCGAACGGGGTATCTTTAGGTTGGTGATGGTTGATGCTTAAGACCTTTTTAAGATAAACTGGGTGTTGTATAATGTTGATGCTGGTTGATGGTTGATGCTCAATTGCTTATGCTAACTGGGAATCTTACAATGTTGTTCTCATTATTGTTTGAGGATTTCCTTGTTGGTGATTAAGGTGGGTTGATGTCCAAGAGTTCTTCGAAGTAAATGCAATAAGACATGCTGGCAGGCAGTGTGATGCCAATTGCAAAACTGTTTCCGCTTGCTTGCCACTTGTAGATATTGCAGTTGAATGTAATTTCAGGAATGGCTGAACCCGGGTTTGAAGGAAATACAACGAAATACAATGAAATTCACGACTGCAACAAATTGCCACCTGCCTCAATCAATGTAAAGTGGCAGAACTAAATACAGTGATCACATCCTGATACTGATAGCCAGCCGTGCAATCCTTGTTGCAGTGATATTCCTCACCAGTAGAACAGGCCTCGACACACCCTGGTGGTATGATAAGAAACAGTGACAAAAATAATGATAAGAATAATGATGGTGATATGGTGATAATGATAACGATAATGCCGATAGTAACAGCAACAAAGACAACAATGACATCACGCGTTAAATCATGATACCAGGTGAATTCAACTCTGATTCAAGATCAGATTGACTAGTATCATTGATCATTGATTCCCACAAAAAGACAACCGTTTTTTTCATGAATCATTATGTTGATAATTATCTAGTATATATGCTACTGAGGTGTTGGGACCACTATTGAGCCAGTATATTGATCAATGATTTGTTACTGACTATATATTGCTGATGATATGAGAACTACTGGCTACAGTATTGGAAATTATTGAGATAATACATTGATTGATCCAATTTATTGTTCATTGTTGATTATTGATGATCGACTATTTATTAAATTCAATATGCCGTTTGTTCATTTATTTTACATTACTGACTATTCATTATTTATTATTGATGGTTTATTATTGATTATTATATGATTACGATAGATTTGCTAATCGGAACTACATCACTTCAGATTGAGGTATCGATATCCCGACGAGCCACTGGAGCAGCTCACTGATCTGGCCGGGGGGAATCGTGTTTTTTGTTCTCCGTGCGGATGGAAGATTTTTCGTGGGGCAAGGGAGGGTTTCGGGGTACACTTGTGGTTTAAAATGTTGAATTATGTAGAAACGCGTATTTTTACGATCCAACAGACGGAAAACCTATGGAAACTCACGGTTTAAATCTCGGGGAACATGTTTTTTTTTTCGCCTGTATTTGTTAAATATTGTTAAATCATCTATAGCCATTTCACTGGTTGATTTAGAATAGATGGGAACCATAATAATTTTTTGCAGTTTTTGTGGGGCATATTTCTCTCAGGAATCATTAAGAGGAAACTGTCCATCCTGTGAAAGATGATCTAAATTCGATCAGCTGTCAAACCTATGTTTTGAAGAATGATTGCCAACTGGGACTGTCAAATCGCCAACATTTTGGGAGGACACTCCTCCGATAGCCGATGGTTAATGTGGTGTCATGTGCAGTATGTGGTTTTGTGTGAGACTCCATGAAAATCTAGAAACATCACTTTCAGAATCTCTATATTGAGACTCTATATGTTGTTTCAACATCACCATTCCTGGTGGTTCAAACCTCATTTCTGCGGTAAATCTCTGCCTTGTTTGGACCTCCCCCCCGTGGTACCGTGGTCAGGCGTTCGGGGACGGCCCTGCCACCGCCTCGCCCTACGCCGTCCACGGCCCCGGCGTCGGAAGCGGCGTCGGACACGCGCGTCGAGCCGGCCCGGCGTCAAGGGCCAAACGCTCGAGGCGGGGCATGGTGAGATTCATGGGGATAAAAATTGGATAATATTAGTGGTATATAGTGGTATTGTAGTGTTATTTCTAATAGTATATGTAGCATCGTATACCCCATTATCTATAATCTGTAGGAAAAATCAGCAAAGACTTGCTGGAACTGGAAACAGCACGCACTGTGTCCCAGGGGGCGTGCCCAGTCCCGCCGCTCCGCCGGTAGTCGAAAACTCAGTTTGCCAACTTGAGTCTTTCAGCATTCAAGTTCCATAGTATGTCAGATAATCCATGATAATCCAGAATCATGGCAATCATGAAGTATAACAATGTAAAGTAAAGAATCTCAAGTGACAAGTGTAGATCCATAATTGATCCATACATATCAATGATATCATATCATTGCAAACCCATAATTATCCATCGAATTTTGATGGAGTAGACCACTGGCTGTCCTCTAGGTGCTGCTGCCGTCTATGCGCCGGGTGATAGATCAGCTGGGGGCGCTGAGAAACGCTCAGAACTGCGGCATATGCTACAGTATCTACAGTATCCAATCAGTATCCATGCCCACCATGAATCCATGTGGCTAGTAATTCATATTGACATCTTAGGCCATTTGCATGCCATTTGCCATTGATTCTTGCTATCCCCGGTCATGGGGACAGAGCTCACTTTTAGTGCTGTCCAGCTCTTCTGGTTCAAAGAGTGAGAGCGACAGTCCAGGGCCAGGGCCATGGAAAGTCTGGAAGCAGTTGAGACAATTGAGAAGATTGAGACGATCCTCAAGGACTCATTGTCACGTTGCCCGTTTGCATCTCCCTTCACAGGAATTGTGGAAAGATTGTTGGCGTTGTTCCAACCCATTATGTATTCCAACCCATTATAAGGGGAGTACATGGATCATTTTGCCTCCATATTCCCAAATTTATCCCCCTTGTACCTGGGTTGTTTGGAGCAACCCCGATTGTGTGACTTGGGAAGAGTTTGCAAGACTTTGCTAAGTTCTTGTCATTTCGATGAAGGCCAGCGGTCGAGCTTTCTATTCTTGTAGCAATCAGGTGGTGCTTCCGTGCAAGGCCCAATTGCTTTTCCCGGGTCATTTTTGACTACTCGAAGGGCTCCCGCAATATCAATGCATCAACTCTGCTTCCGATCTGTAGAGTTTGGGATGCTTCTGATTGTATATCCCACCAGTTTGGGGATCTTTTAACAAAGCTCTACCCTTGCGGCCGTTTTATCCACCCCCGCAGGGCCCTTATACTCTCGGGCATAGTTGCTTGCTTTCTGTATTTAGCTTGCTAGTGACTGTACAGCAAGCTTGGACTTTACCCAACCCTTGTCAGGCAAGCTTTCAAAGCCTAGGGCATGAGGGTCGAATCACTTTGTTGTTAGATTATGTTAGATTCTTTTTGCTGGGGAGGCTAGGAACCCCCGAAAAAGCACTTTGAAGCTGAGCATTGAAAGCCGACAAGG